TTATTGGTCAACTCCATGAAACTCATTAAAACAGTTTCTTCCTTTTAAAAGACATAAGCTTATCTTGCATTTCATACATTGAATAGAAGCAAAACCATTTTTACACTGCCTACACCGACTTTGTTTCTCTTGAAATACTGGGAAATGGCTACACATATCAAATCTTATATCTCTAGAAGGGTTTTCAATGTTGGGTGGGCGTCTTTTTGCAGCTACTTTATTTTCTGCAGCAAGTGATGGGCGCCCACGCTTTGCAAGTAATAAAGTTTTACCAGCTTTACACCAGAATATGCATATAGTACTTTACGGTGCGCTGTCTCACACTGTATGTTTCTAGCAGCATATCACATAAATCAACTCCTCCCATATGAGCATTATAAATTTCAACTATCTTGGGTCGATCAATAGTCACAAATTTTTTATCTTTTTCTGACCACCTGTTAGCAGGAGTACCTGGTTCATTTCCTACATAATTTGAGATGAGTTGCACAATATTATTATCATACCATCTTACAATACAAATTCCTGAATTAACATCAACAATATAGTCTGAGGAGCCTCTTCCAGCTTTTTTGAGATCTTTTTCATTAAGTAACTTTTTACTAGCATCCTTTAAACGATCTTTACGGATTGTTGCTACAGCCAAAAAAATTTTCTCTTTGAGCAACCGAAAAATATCGATAGATGAAAAATAGTTATCAAAAAAGATTTTGTAGTTAACACCACTAGGCAAACTTTGTGTCAAGCGATAAACCACATTGCCTCCCATTAATAAACCTGGAAGTTCATCTTTATTCAACAAATATTTTCTACAATAAGTCTCAAAATCGTATACAATTCCGAAAACACCGCATCTGGCCCATACTTTTATACCCCATTTATGGGGTTTTTTAGGAAGATATTGTCTCAGAAAAGATCTTCCTTTTGTTGGCAAAATTTGTTCATCTATCGAATGACTTTCTTCTTGTGGAATATTTTTGATGTTTTTTAAAATAAGTTGAATAAGCGGTCGCACTTTAAATAATTTGTCATAATTAGGGTGGTTTGAGGGAAGCGATTTACTATTATCTGAAAAATGCAAATAGCGTTTTATTTTCTCAAACTGCTTCGAAGTCATGACGTCTGCTATATTTGGTATACGAGTTTCATTACTCCAGTATAACCTCTGATGTGGAAGTTTAATTATTGACATCAAAACTAATATGTCAACATATTTTTCGATATCATTGTTTGTCACTGCTATCGATGTACCAGTCAAATTTGCACTATATAGATTTGTCTGTTCTACAATTAGATCAAATATTTCAGAACTAAAAAGTTTTTTAAAGTACTGATAAGGTGTTAGTTCTGGGTAAGGTGGTTCTGGAAAAGGCTCACCATTAAAAGCATCAATTTCTTTTGGGACAGAAACTTTACGCCAACGATGTACATGATTGAAAAATTTATTTGCTGAAGTTATTTTATTAGTGAAACTTTCATCATCAGAACTTTCATCAACAATAGACTCAGATTCTGAGCAAGTAAAATCACTGTACATGAACAAATCTTTTTCATAATTTGCACCATCTAAATCACTATTATTGCTATCACTATCAACATCGCTCTTATCAAAATTTATGACCAAAGCACCTTTAGATACTAAATGGGTTTTAACTTTTTGTTTGTTTTTTACAGGTATCATTATTTATTTAACTTTAAGGTCTAAAAAATAAATAACTAAAAAGTTTATCAGTTTGTATAAACATGTATATATATATATATATATATATATATATATATATATATATATATATATATATACATACATATATATATGTATATATATATACATATATATATATATATATATATATATATATATATATATATATATATATATATATATATATATATATATATATTAATATATATTAATATATATATATATATATATATATATATATATAATATATATATATATATATATATATAAAATTAAGTATATATCAATAACAATGATCAATAACTAAAATTAAGTATATATCAATAACAATGTTTTATTTTTTAAGTATATTTTACCAAATAAATACCAAAAAATACTACTTTACATAAACAATCTTATTGCAAAAACAATAATAATAACGGATTGGATTTTATACCATTAGCGTGCAGTGTTGTTGTACAACAACAAATTAATTTCATTGATTAGATTAAAAAGGTATAATTAAACAAAAAAATAAATGAGTAGTAAGAACAGTACATTGTTAAGTTATTTTATATATTTTTTTCACAACAACATCAAAATTATAAATCCTTTAAATTAATAGTAATTTGATGACTTCTATTAGCACCGCCTTCACCCATAAAAATTATCTTTAAAATGTCAGTTATGCAATGAAATAGCAAGGTTGACTTTTTCTTACGCCCTAATCAACTATCCTTAATGAAAAAAAAATTGTTTTCAATCAGTTTGGATGCATTATCTGCATTAGGTAAGCTTATTTTAATTTGTTGTTCTAAAACAACCCGGCGCATGAAAGGGTTAAAAAGCAATCCAATATAAGATTTTTGGGAATCGTTGTTGATGAAAAACTATCCTGGCTTCCTCATATAATATATATCCAGTCAAAAATTACCAAAATCATAGGTTTAATGTATCGAGTTCGCTGGTACATCAATACAAATAGTCTTAAATTAATCTACTTTGGGCTAATTCACAGCCTCATCAGCTATGCAAACATTTCATGAGCAAGTACTCAAACAGCAAAGCTTAAGAAACTTTATAGTTTTCAGAAAAATGCCTGTAGATTCATTTACTTTGAAAATAGGCGGGAACACGCTAAACCTTTGATGAAAAATATGAAAATGATGAATGTATTTGAAATAAATATCTACCAGCATTTAATTTTCATGTATCGTTACAATCACAATATCTCTCCTATAAGCTTTAATAATAAGTTTGAGTTAAATAAAAATGATAACTATAATCTTAGAGCGAATATGTTGAATACATATAAACAGTTGAATACATATAAAAATATATATACTGCCTAGGATAATAAATAAATATTCAGAATACAGCATTTTATATCGAGGTCCAAAAGTATGGAACATTTTTCAAAATAGGTTCAAAGGTACGGTGAGTCCGTTAAGTTCATTCATGTTTTTAACAAAAAAAGAAATCTTTAAAACCTGTGGAACATTTTTTGTTAATAATGCTTTGGATAAATTCTCATAAATAAGTTTTTGTTTCGTTTCTACTTTTGTTTATTGCTTGACAAATTTTATTAGCGGATTACACATTTTGTTATGATATTGTATTGAAATTTTTATTTTTTATGTCATACTACGATATTTTAATTAAATCTTGTTAAAGGGGTTCTATGAAAAGATTGCGATGACGTTCTGTCATCCTCATCTTCTTTAAGCCCCTATCTGTTTTACTTATTTTGTTAAACTTATTTGGAATTTGTAAAATTCTTATGTTATGTAAACAGAGAAAGAAAGAAAAAAAAAAAAAAAAAATACAGTTATGAAGACTTTTTTTGTTGTTGATAATATTAGGAGCTTGTTATATGTTTAAGGGTCTAGAGGGACTCCAAAAATACTTTTTCTTCAAAAAATTTTTAAAACCAGTGTTTTTTTATCATATAAAACACATTAAGAGGTGGCTGCATATATTTTTTAAAAATATTGTTTTTTTGGACAATCTTATAAGTAAGTAAAGTATTTATCATCAAAATACTGTGTAAACAATTTTATTTTTATGTTCTAACTGAAATCAAAAATATTAGGTAACTTTAATAAAATTAATAATAAATAATAATATAAAGTTAAATAAATTTTAAAAAATATCTTAATAAATAATCTGATTATACAGTGCAGTTACGGTTCCGATCATATGTTGAATTAAATAATATTTAAAAAGCCACATAAAATCAAAATTGCTTATATTGTATTTTGATAAGAAACTTATTTTATGTTACTTTTACCTGCAGTACCAGAAATCAGCTAAATTGCTAGTATTTGGATGTAATATATATATATTTTTTTTTTGCGAAGTTAAAAAGAAAATAAGGGAAAACAAATTCCGGATTTTTTCCAGATATTTTATTTAAATAATTTTCCGGATTTTTAAAATGTGACAAAGATGATCTATGTTTATACTTTAGTAAAAAATCTATAATAATTTTGTCACAAAAACACCACACAAATAATGAGCAACCTGCAAATATAACATAGAACTACTTTTAGAACTGTTTGCTTAATTAGTTTATGTATTGAAGATGTTCCGGACTTAACGCCATTCCTTTCAAAAAGTTATTTATATTTTGCACTTTGCAGGCTTTGTTTAACTGTAAATATTTAGTAAATCAAATGAATCTAATCAATATTAACATAACTAAAAACTAGAATTATTATAATCCTACAAATTAAATCGCTTAGAGATTTAATTTGTAGGATTATAATAGTAATAATAATAATAATAATAATAATAATAATATATATATATATATATATATATATATATATATATATATATATATATATATATATATATATATATATATATATATATATATATATATATATATATATATATATATAAATATATATATATATATATATGCAAGTGCAATTATTGTAGTCAGTGCGAATAATTGTATTATATATAAACTATTATTGCGTTGCGTCAGAAGGAATGTTGTGGGCGCTTCGTATATTATACCGCTCGGGTACATCTAATATATCATACCTTGGACATAAATTAAACAATTTCCGCTTATCTCAAGGTGTGCGACAAGGATCCATTTTATTGCCACATTTATACAACATCTACACTGAAAGTATATTAAGTCAAATTGTTTCCGATTGTAAAGTTGGAACAACAGTAATGGGTTTATAAACTGGTACTATTGCTTTTTCAGATGATATAATCCTGCAAAGTCCTACTCTTTCTGGGCTACAAAAATTGATCAATAAAGTTTAAACGCAGTGTCAAAACCTCTATATCAAATTAAATACAGAAAAAACCGAGTTCATTATCTCCGGTAAAAGTTTAGTTACAAAAAACATAATACAAATTAACGGTTTTTTCCTGAAACTCAATAATAAACTGAAACATCTCGGATTCTTACGAGAAAATCTAGGCCATGGACAAAATCTAGCTACAATCCAATCAGCAAAAGTAAACAAAAGAATTATTCAATTTCAATCAATCTGCAGAGTTCTTATAAAATCTAAAATTCGTTTTTGTCAACCATTAACTATAGTGCATTTGTTCAAATCTCTGGCTATACCAAATCTAACATACGGATGAGAAATTTGGTTTATAGCAATACTTTTCTTAATAAATTAGACGCCGTTAGAAGATCAGCATTAAAATTTTTCTTTAGTATTTCAAAATACAGCTAAAATTATCTGCATTCCTACTTTAAAATTGATGACGTATCTACCATCTTAGTTCGAAACAATTTGAATCTGTTTAACCGATTGCTGAGCAACCCGACTTGTTTTTCCTTGATTTTAACTCAAATATCTGATTTTAATAAGGTTAACTGTTTTATCAACGAAGTAATGAAAATTTGCAACCGCTTGGAGCTAAGCTTCATTCAGTGTTTGATTAAGGGGGAAAAAATCATTATCAAACGTCGTAACGATGACGTAGAAGCGATAATATAGCGGAAATTTTAAATCAGTCCTTTGAATTCTGGAACACCAGAGAACAAAGAATGATATTTATGAATTTGATGGAAGAAAGCTTTCCACAAAAGGATCTAAATTATAATTTCAACTTAGAGTATAAACTATTAGTTTTATGCCCTTTGTATTTTTTACCTGTAATTTTGGGTAATGAAAAGAATAAATAAATAAATAGATATTGTTAAAAAAATAGAATTAACTTTTTTTTAAATTTATTTCATCTTCTTGAAACATCTTGGAAGAGAGTTTAACTAGGAAGTTTAAACCTCCATTTTTTTTATATCCTTTTTATTTTTTATATCCTTTGCAGGATTATATCATCTGCATAAGCAATAGTACTGGAACGAGCTTTTTATTCGAAATTCTGCCGAATCCTAATAAAAAAGCTCGCTCTGAAATGGATGAGTCTGAACTATTTGTAAATAGACATTGAACATCTTTTAAAAAAAAATTTTATCTTTTTTTTTTTTGTTATTAACTTTTATTTCGCTGAATAAACAATATTACAATTTTTCATGTAATCATGTAATCATATAATCAACCTTTCTTAGATTAACCTTTCCATGTAAAGTTGTTGAAAATGGTATAAAAAATGCATCCTATGACATTCACAAAGACTGTTCAGAAATAAAAAGAGCAGCCGTGGCGCAGTGGTTAGAGTTTTGGCTTAGAACCCAGATTTCTGAGCTTCGACACCGGTTCTAGCCCAATAAGCGGCATTGGTAAGGAAGGAGGCGTGAACTTCTAGTTAAATACTCTCTCGCTGTGTTCCGTGATGTAACCGTAAGGACTTCTGGGAGCACCTAAATAACCTAATAAAATAAAAAATAAAAACATTGTAAGAAATTAACTTTTAACGATTTTTAATTATTCAATTGTTTTACAGTTGTTGTTGTTTATATTGATAAAATATATTTTTTTAATGTTATTTATGTTTTATAATTAATATTACATTATGAATTTCATAATTTTTAAAATTGCTTGTTTAAAAATTAATTGTTAATTCTAACTTTATTAAATAAGGTTAAAATTGACAATCAAAAAACCAGAACAAAGAATTTTTAAAATTATATAAATAATAAAAATAATAAGAATAATATAATAAAATTATATAATTTTGAATACAAAAATAATACTATAACTAAAAACCGAAAATTAAATTTTTTTACCATTTTAAAGATAGAATACTTTTTTACCGATATGCTATTCTGCCTTAATAATGTATATTCTTAGCAATCAAATTTGTGTTCTAAGCAATCAAATTAACAAATTTGATATTTTGATCTTTTAATTCAACGAATTTAACAAATTTTTACTTTTAATTTTAAAAATTTAAGAGAGTATAACAAACTATGTTAAATTCTCTTAACAGTATAAAAGAGAGAATCCTATTATTCTAACGTCACGATATAAATATACTGTTATAATCAGTCAGGGACTCAAAGAAGGTAAGGATAATGCGTTTATCATCACAAACTTTTCATAGAGCCCCCTGAATCTGAATCTAAGTGCAGGATTTGACTATATCTATGTTTTAAAAGTTTTTATGTTATTAAGTTACCTTTTTTTTATATCATAACAAACTGGTGTTGTCATTAACAACCAACATTTTTCTTTGTCAATAAAAAGTAGCAAATGTAGTCGTTCTATAAAAAAATGGCGATAATTCAATTCTTTTTAACAGCCGACCCACATCCATTTTCTCCTGTTTTTAAAAGTTATTAGAACGTATTATTTATAACATACAATATAATTATCTTGAAAAATACCTGATTTCTCTAACAATTTGGTTTTCAAAAACCATCATGCAATGCAACTGATCCAGCCAAATTCTAGAAAGGTTGGCTACAAAAATTAAACCATCTTGCAATGCAACTGATCCAGCCAAACTCTAGAAAGGTTGGCTAACAAAAATCTATACTCTCGGCATGTTTATTTATCAAAACTTTTAACATTTTTTATTATAAAATCTTTCTCGGCAAACTAGAAAGATATGGAGTATAAAATAACAATTAAACTCGACAACAATGCTATCTAATAGATTACTTGCCTTTATTAACTACTTTAGCTAATTAATAAATAAAAAATTAAAAAAATAATAAGTAAAAACATCTACTTAGTAAAAAACATTTGAATATTACTTTCGTATCTGTTTTAAAGTTAAAGATTCCTCTAGCCAAATTTACACCGTAATATAGTAAATTGCAGAACTTAACCTTCTTTTACCAAACAATATCAGCTAGTTACCCAAAGGTAGCATGTGAGGTTTTACCCGAGATACACACTTCAAAATATTTTTGAAGTTTAAATGAAAAATTTGATAAAAGGGTTACTAAATAAACTATCATTTATCTAAAAATAATAACTATTAAAAACTGTGCAAAGCAACAATTAAACTAAAAAAAGGTTGTTTTTTTAATACCCCTAAAAAAGTTTTTTGCTACACCTTTTTTTGGGGGTTAAAAAAGCAACAGACAAGTTAATATTTTACCTGATTGGAAATGAAAGCACACCTGAAATAGTTTACTTTAGTGAAATTATGGACAATAATAATAACAATAAAAAAATTATTTTAAATGAGTTGCATCATAACAACTATATCAAAACAGGCACACAACATTGTATTAACGTGTTTTAACGTTAATACAACGTTGTGTACCTGATAGAAACACAATCTAAGACAAAATTAATGTTATCATATTCTTTAACAGTATATAAACTTTTGATGTGTGCAGTAAGTGTTTAAAAGTTCAAAAGTTTATACTAGTTTAGAAGTTGTTGATAACAAAAATGTGCGATAAGTGGATTTAACTAGATTTAATTTTTAAAATTTTTCTATGTTTTACCAACCCACAACAACCATTCTCTGATAAGTGTCTTGTTTTTGCGTGCCGATATACTACTCAAGCTGTGTTGGTGGTGGCCGTATTGGATTTGTGCAAATCCGGTGCAAATTTTTTATTATTATTGACTATATGATAAAAGGTAAAAAACTTTTTATAACAAAAATCTTCATAAAGGTTTTCAAACTAAAAAATGACTTGCCTGTTTAGTCAAATATTTGATTGGCTATTGGGTGATTCCAGTTATCAGCTGATAATATAAAAACGTAAAGCAACACATTAAACAAAATATTAACACACCTTTTCAGGCTGTATTTGTAAAATATTTAAAATGCGTATAAATATAAAATGAGTGAATTAAATGGCTAAAGTGCAACTATATGTTACATAAATATTTAAAAATGCAACAGCTTGCTCTAGCATGCATTTTCTTGTTGGGATTAGCTTACTCGGAACGAGTTCATTACTATGGGTAATTTTTTTTTCAAATGTTGGTACATTTTGTATAGCTTTATACAATTTATTTATTTTTATCATTTTTTCATTTGTCTATTTATAAAGAATTATTATTTTATACAACTTTTATAGGTTTTTTAGGTTTTTATATTTAAAGAAAAAAAACATTTCAATTTTATAATTAATTAGAGATAAAGTTTTTCGAATAATTCCCAAAACCGCTGAAGAATCTGATTGGTTACATTCATGGATCGAATCTACTTTAACAAAGGTCCGTAACAATTGGGTAATGTTTGTGTGCAACAATTGTTTGATATTTTTTATTGCTATAAACTTAAAATGTAGTGTTGTATATAGCTAGATGTTTGGACAAATCCAAAAGGAGTTGGTCGAATGACAGATATTCATGTCCGAGCAACTGATGTGGAAAGTGTGACAGAGGTCTTACAACAAAAAGCCATAAACTTTACCGTAACCATTGAAGATTTAGAGAAAGTGATAAACCAAGAACAAACTTTTAACCAGCTCTTCTCGTATAATACTGGAGTGTACTCTTTTGACAGATTTAATAGATACTTTGATGTAAGTTTTTTTTTCTTTTTCTTTGTTTTATTCTTTGTTGCATTAATTAAAATAAATAAAATTTGATTTGGTGATGTAGATTTTTTTAATGAGTCTTTAAAACATTGCAAAAATACTTGAAGTAATTTATCTGTAAATATATATTAACTGGTAAAATATATAAGCATAGTTTCTTTATTAAAAATAGATTGATGCGCAGTTAACACAGTTTGCAAGCAGAAGTTACAATCATGCTAAAGTCACCAAATTTCAAATGGGAATCTCATCTGAAAGAAGAAGAATCAATGGAATTAAGGTTTTTATTTTTTTATTTTATTGCATATTAAAACTTTTGATCAACATTTAAAACTTTTTTTGTTTGCGTTAAAAACAAAGTTATAAAAAATGTTTAATCCATAAGAGATAATAAAAGTTTATTTTTTGTAGTCTAAAAAACAAAGTCTTAATAGTATAACAAAAAAATAACTTGATAATGCGAAAGTTGGAATGTTGTAAAAAAAAGGTACCATCAGAATATAGTTCAATTGATGTCAAGCAACGTAGATTAGTTCTAGATTTAAAAAAAAAAAAAAATGAGGGGGGCACTAGGAAGTTTTATATTCGGGGCCCCGCTTTTTTTAGGCTTTTAACTCCTGTTGGTCTCACAGTATTCAAATTTAACAGCAGGCTTAAAAAACAAAAATCTTTAAAAGAGTAACAAAAAAAATTAATTAGGCAAAAATTAAAAACACTAAGTAGAAATAAAAACACAATATTAAATAAATACTAATAACTAAACAAAAAAAAGAGCTCAATACACAATGGAAACTTTCAAACAAAATTCAATTTTATTTTTGCCCTACACTATATCACTTTTGATAATTAAGGAAAAAGAAGTACCTCTAACCTATCTAATTAAAGTCGTGTTTTCTTTTTGGCCCGGCCATGTAAATATTTATTTAAATATTTCGTTATTGTAAAAATATTTAAACGGCTATATATATATATATATATATATATATATATATATATATATATATATATATATATATATATATATATATATATATATATATATATATATATATATATATATATATATATATATATATATATATATTGACAAAAAAATATTACAATTTTGCGTTTCAATGATTTTGTTTTTAGTTATTTAATTTTGCCGTTTAAATATATAAACACTACAAATATTTTAAACAAATACAGGTGGCCGGGGTAATAAAGAGACACCATTTTTCTTGTCGCTAAACCCTGAAATAAATAAGTAAACAATCGAATAACAATAAAATATAAATAAATAAAAAAAAGCAACAAGATTAAAACAGCAAACCATTAAAATCTTACATTTTTATTGGTCCATATTTTTATTAATTTTAATATTTTTAAATAGAACAAAAAAAAGTTATTCAAAATCAGTTCAAATAATGACAAAATATAAAATAAAAAATGATTAAAAAAAAATAGATTATTAATTAAGTTAAATTATTTATTAAAAGTATTTTCTGTTTATAGAGTGACTCCCAATATAACGTATTAAAAGTTTGAAAGGAATTTTATAATGTCCGTAAAAGCGATTGAAGAAAGTTAATTTTGTTTTAGTTAAATTAATTGATAATTTATTCGCACTAAACCTGTAGTTTAGCTAATTCTGTAAGTTTTAATAGTTTCATGTTACCTTAAATAAACATTTATACTATGATAAGCATAAAATAAATTTGTATTGTCAGCAAACAAAATGTTGTCTAATAAATTACAATATTTACTTAAGTCGTTAATAAAATTTATAAATAAAAATGATCCTAAAATTGATTTTTGTGGTACCCCACTGGTTATATTCATATTTTCTGTTTCTCCGTATAGTACTATTCGCTTAACGAATAGTACTATTCGCTTAACGAATAGTACTATTCGCTTATCGAATAGTACTATTCGCTTAACGAATAGTACTATTCGCTTAACGAATAGTACTATTCGCTTAACGAATAGTACTATTCGCTTAACGAATAAGAAAAAGATGGCGAATAAAAACTACCGAGTGAACCTGAATACCAAGAGTACCTGATTAAGATGGTGAATATTAGCGCTTTTAATGTGGTTTTTTATACTTTAACATCAAGTTATATTACTTTCCTCAAGTTTCCAGATCTATGTTTTCATATGATTCTGTATTAATATAATATTTTCTATGATCAATCATAAAAACAAGGGGAGGAGGGGGGTGAGAATGTCAAGTAGCGCCGATTTTTGCATTATTAAAAGGACCTTGAAACATATTCTTCTTCGTATTTTCAGCTAATGCAATTTATTAAACTCTTTGTCGTTTACATGATTTTCTATTCTAGTTTTAAATACCAATCTTGCTGCACAATTTTAAACAGACTGTAGTTTTTTTAATAGCGTCTTTTCAAGTTCAAAGTAGAGAGAGTTGCAATAATCTAGCTGTGCAAATATTAGTGAAGAGCTATGGTGCACAAATCTTTTTCAGGGCCGACGACACGGGTTTTGAAGTAGGGGGGGGGGCACAATCATCAATTTGTGAAAAAAGTCCTCTATGTCAAGGTTTTTCTTATTTATTCGCGTTTTTAAAGATAATTCATTGTCAAGTATCACCCCTAAACTTTTTACTAAGTCAATAAATCTAATGCATTCCTTGTTAATAAAATTACCTTTAACAATGATACTTTTTGGAATGCTAGATGGTGTTATAATTAATATTTTTGTTTTCGATTGGTTAATACATAAGAATAATTCACTCATCTATTTAGATGTGTATTCAAGACATTTTGGTATATCTAGAACCAATGCATTATATTGAGATGATGGAAGGAATTCTTTAAGAGTTTGATGATCATCTGAGTGTACAAAAGTTTTAACATTGATTAAGTTCAGATATTTTTAACTGAAAAAATATAAAAATGTAATTTGTGTAAGACTTAAATTGTCCTGCAAAACGTTATGATTTTTTTGCAGGAGAAAGGGAGAGTCAACTTGTTTTCACAAATTTTCCCCCTTTCCTAAGATTTTGCTGAATTGGTGCCACTGGTATACAATTTGAATCCATTAAATCAGTTTTTATATCTTGGTTTTTTGTTCAACAAGTTGCATCCTTTAAACAATACAGGAGCAAAGATAGAACCTTGTGGTATCCTTAAAGTTTCTTGAAACAAAGAAGAGTGAGTCTCTAGGACCTAACATATGAGATAAGATACAAAATTTAGTTAACTGAGAATAACGAAGCTTAACATTATACAGGACCTTTTTACATGAAAAAAATGATTAAAGTTTAATAAAGCAAATGCTCAAGATGGTAAAAAATTTGGGGTAGAATTAGATGGTGAAAAATTTTTGGTAGAATTAGATGGTGAAAAATTTGGGGTAGAATTAGATGGTGAAAAACTTGGAGAAGAATTAGATTTGACTTGAAATTAAAGCGAAAGAATAAAAGTTTCCAAACTTTTATTCAAGAAGTGCATCTCGGAAGTGTAAATCAGCATGTAGAAAAGTAGCAGCTTCAAAAGAAAATGGTAATTGTAGAATTAAAAATCTTGAAAAGAGTGCCATACATCTTGTATGAATGAGCTTTAGCAAAGTAAAAGCTCTAGATAATTTATTCTGTATTTTCTATTCAAGAAAATGCTCTAGATTGTATGATGATTATGATGATGATTATAATGATGATTATGATGTTGAAGATGATGATGATGACGATTATGATGATGACGATTATGATGATGATGGTTATGATCATGATGATCATGATAATGATGATAATTATGGTAATGATGATCATGATGGTCATGTTGATCATAATGATGTTTATATATGTATATATATACAAAATATAACATGAATTTTGAATTAAAAAAATATACTTTAAGATTTTTCATAAATATTTATGCAACTCTGGTTATATTTTATTTAAAATATGGCCAGGGCTATATTTTGTTAAAACTCTCCGGCTATATTTTATTAAAACTTGTTCCTGTCCCCATCAATTATTAAACTCCGTTGCTTACTAGTCACTACCTATGATTAGTTCCTTGTATCATAAATTTAAACTGGTTGTTTAGTTGTTGCAATTTAAGTATCATTATCACAGTTGTTATTATTGTTATTTAATGACTATTACTGTTGTTAATACTGATTGTATTTAGTGTTGTTATGACTTTTAATTAGTTTGACTCAACTAAAATAACTAATATATTTTCTAAAGTCAACTAGAATAAGTCAACTAAAAGTCAAAATAAGTAAATAATTATTTTTTTTCAAAACAAAAATAATTTTTTTTTTTTTTATTTAATTTTCCGTTTTTGTTACAATTAAATTCCGTAATATAATACCAGATACTCTTATTCTTTCAAAAATAAACCAGTTATAAATATAAAAAATCAAAGACAAAATAATAAGAGTTAGTTATACAAAAATAAATAAAAACGCGGGAAACTTGCAGAAGACCATTAAGTCTTATCGTTGTAATTATGTTTTTACAATATTAAATTCCTATAATAGTGTTAAAATCAAAACTTAATTAACTAAGGTGAATAGTGTTAAAACCAAAAACTTTTCAATGTAAAAAGACAAAAACAAAAAAACAAACAAACGAAAAAACAAAGCAGTTTAAAAGAAATCATTAATAAGATTTGTATACTTTGAAATATTCTTTTTTATTAGTTTTTGAAAGCAATTTATATTGTTTATACCTGGTAAATTACTATATTTTGCTAAGATTTTATTCCAGATATGCGGAGCACGATACGTAATTTTAAATAGTTCTTGTTTAGTTTTGCACAATGGTTCAATTAAGCCTGTTGTGTGTAAAGTATATTTAATGTTAGGTTTTATTTCATAAAGATCATTAAAAATTGATGGGCATTGTTGAAATTTACTTTTGCATATGAGACATAAAATTTTATAAACGTTTATCTCGTATAACGTAAAAATATTCATAATTTCGAACAGTAGTTTTGCATGTTCATTTTTATTTTTAAAATTCATTATTCTTAAGGCATGTTTTTGTTTTCGATAGAGTGTTTCAAGCTTGCTTTTAGATGTACTACACCACGCAATATTTGCGTAATTCAAGTAACTTTGTATAAAACTGAAATAGATTTGTTTTAGATGATGCTTATTAAGTAAATCCCGTGACTGATATAAAACGCCAATACTTTTTGATATTTTGCTGCCAATATAGGCAATATGTTTATTCCAGGTAATATTTTCGTCAATGAGAACACCAAAAATTTTGTGACTCTTTCGCGACTAACTTCTGTGTTTTCAATAACTAGTTTTGGAAAAGAAATAGGAATTTTTTTTTTTAAAGGGTGGAATAATGAGAACTTTGTTTTATTTGAATTAATAGAAAGTTTATTTGCATTGAACCATAGTGAAATTTTATCCAACTCGTTGTTCATTTGTACGAAGAGTTGAGGTATATCTTTTCCTGAAATAAAAAAGTTACTGTCGTCAGCAAACATTATTGTTGATATATTTGACGCTCTCCAGAGATCATTCACGTATATTAGGAAAAGTAGAGGCCCAAGAATAGATCCTTGGGGCACTCCACAAGAAATTAAAGATGAATTTGTAAGTTTTTTATTTCCGTAATATATGGACAGTGTACGTTTACTCAGGTAATCTGCTATCCACCTGCAGGATACGCCTCTTATGCCGTACATCTTAAGCTTTTTTATCATTATTTTTATGATCCACTGTGTCAAAGGCCTTGGAGAGGTCAATAAACACGCCTAAAGTAAATTCTCTGTTTGCAAAAGAGTTTTTTATTTCATTAATTAAGTGAAATATTGCATGTTCAGTTGAAGTGCTTTTCTGGAATCCAAACTGTTTTGAATAGAATAAGTCATTATCTTTAAAAAATGCATATAACCTATTCAACATAATTCGCTCAAAAATCTTAGAAAAAATGGGCAGTATAGATATTGGTCTATAGTTTCCAATATCCGTTTTATCGCCTGATTTATATATAGGTTTAACTTTGCTGATTTAAGTATATCAGGAAAGATACTCTCATTCAGAGAACGATTACAAATTTTAAACAAAGGCACTTTTAGCTCATTATAACAGTCAATAACAATGTTGCTGTTTATACCATCAATTCCAGAAGATTTATTACGTTTCAAACTTTTAACCCTTTGAGCACGGGGAGCCACGATCGTGGCTATACCGTCAGAGCACGTAGAGCCACGATCGTGCATTTTAAAGTGTTCATCAGAACTATGACTTTTTCTTCAGAAATACCGCTGTTCATAATTTTAAAATGGTACCATTGAATAGAGCGCATTTTTTTCTATCTTTTGGTATATTGTTTGTGTATATTTTGTATTAAAGATGAGTGACAGCGAAGAAAGTTTTACTGAAGAAGAAAGTTGTGCAAGCGAAGAATATTTAAGTAGCAGTGATGATAGTTTATTTGATGAAGGCACAATATTTTTTATTGAAAAATTGTATACAAATTTATTTAATTTAAATATATCACCAAATCTAAGCATTTGAAGTTTTTATTTTTATGTAGACTCCGGTTCTGATGACGATGCTGGTGTTGATAATGTTTTAGATTTGTGGCTTCCTGTTGTAGGAGACGACAATGGCTCTAATGTTTTTGCTTTTACTGGTGTACCAGGACCCAAACATACTATTTCACCAGCTGGTGAAATAGTATGTTTGGGTCCTGATTGTTTGAGGTCCTGATTGTATGTTTGGGTCCTGATTGTATGTTTGGGTCCTGATTGTTTGGGTCCTGATTGATTGTTTGGGTCCTGATTGTCTGAATAGTATGATTGGGTCCTGATGATTCTGGCCAGAATCAAAGCCCATTAATTATGTTGAATTATTTTTCACTAAAGAGTTTTTGGAAAAGTTAGTAACTTATACCAACCAGTATGCTGATGCATGGATACAAAGAAACCAACAGCATTTGAGATCTCATCCATTGTCGATAGGTCATGTATGGATAAAGCAAGGAAAAACAAGTCTTTTAGAAATAAAGGCATTCCTTGGTGTTGTTATCAATATGGGTCTAATCAAGAAAGCTAGTATTAAACTATATCGGGATATTAGTCATCCTTGTGCTTCCACTCCCTGGTTTGTTACTCATTTCAATCGTGACCGTTTTCAACTTTTACTTAAATTTATTCACTTTACTGATATCTCTATCCCTAATCAACAGCAACTAAATAAGATTTATAAAGTTCAGTATTTAGTTGAACATTTTAACAAAAAAATTTTCTATTTTTACATTCCTCAAAAAGATATTTCTATAGATGAGAGCATGATTGGTTACAAGGGAAAGACACCACATCTCCGCCAATATATGCCAAACAAGCGTCATTCTCGATTTGGAATAAAATTATGGTGTGTTTCAGACAGCACTAATGGGTATTTATCTCAGTTTGAAATTTACAAGAGAGGAAAAAATCCAGATGAAGCTGTTGTTGCCCATGGTATGACTTACAACTTGGTTTTTCGTCTTTTGCGTCAAGCCAACCTCCTTCATCAAGGTTATCACTTAGGTATTGATAACTATTACACTTCTCATGAACTGCTATTGGATCTATATCTACATCAAACCACAGCAACAGGAACAGTGAGAGTAAACAGAAAAGGTCTGCCAGAAATCTGCCTTAAAACAAAATTGAAAAACAAAGAAGTTTGCCAATATAGAAAAGGTCCTTTGTTATGTGTGGCATATCAAGATGGTAAAAAAAAACCTGTATTACTGTCTACTGTTGCCAAAGCTGGTTTTACTGAATTGCGCAACAGAAGAGGTAATTTAGTTATGAAGCCAAACGTTGTTGCCCCTTATAATCGAACCATGGGAGGGGTAGATTTGGGAGATGCACAGCTCTACGTGTACCTGTCAGAGCGTAAGACAATAAAGTGGACTACAAAAGTTGCCTTTTCTTTATTTGGCAGGACTATTCTTAACAGCTACTTATTGTATAAGCTTAACACTATTGAACGTAAGCCTATGTCTAGAATAAGTTTTATGATGGCAGTTGTGGAAAGTTTAGCTGGAGGGTATCAACCAGTAAAAGTAGTAACAAAAAGACGAACATCTAGGGAGATGGAAATGGCAAGAAGTACAACTGTACCATATCCACTTCCTCAGCACACAGCGATTAACAATCCTTTATATGGACATAACCTTGTCAAAATTGGTTCAGGAAAAAAAATAAAATGTGTAGCTGGGCACCAAACCCGTGTTTGTACCAGTTGGCAGTGTCAGTCATGTTGTGTTGGACTGTGCCCTGGATGCTTTTCAAATTACCACACAACAGCTATAAATTAAATACATCGCATTTCTTAAATTCTTCTAAAAACTAGAGAGAAAAAACCAAAATTTAAAATAGTTGTTTTTCGTTTTTTTTTTTTTTCAGTTCAGTTTCTCCGTACGGTGTTTAAGTTTTATTCCGTGCTCAAAGGGTTAAATTAGGTATAATTATTGCTAAAATGCAATGAATTTTATAAGATTTAAAGAGAGTACACAAAAAACAGTATAATAGTATTGTTATTGGATGAACAAACAAAAGTTAAAATTTGAGAAAAAATTATTTTAGATAATTACTTGACTAAATCAACTTTTATTCAATTAGTAGGAAATTTGTAGTCAAAGTTGACTTAGTCAGTCAATAGCAACACTGATTGTAACTATTATTATTTTTATTAGATAAGTGGAATATCAGGACCTGCGACAAAACCTGCTATTTGGGTTGATGGAGCCATTCACGCTAGAGAATGGATAGCTACAGCTACTGTTATGTATTTAGCAAAGCTTGTAAGTGATGTTTTTTTAAAATTGTTTTTAGTTGGCTAATTTTTGTTTTTTAAAGACAAAAATCAGAATATTTCTAAAAGTTTTTGAAAACTCCTGCTACTAATCTTTTAGATTATTGTGTCAAGACATCTTGACACGTAAGTCTAAAAGATTTGTATTTCTGTTGTTGTTAATTAAAAAATTATCATTAAATTTTATAAAAGTTGCAAAGATTTAGATGATTTATTGCACACCTGCTTTAAATTGCTTCTTCAGCTCTGTGAAGTATTGCTAAAGTAACAATCTGAAGCAAGAGTATAGCCAATGATTGTAAAAGGCAGGTTGTCGCTGCATAGCAAATAAAAATTGTGAATGCCATCAAGTAAAAAAATAGTGTAACTTTGTTTTAGTGGCAATAGATTGACAACTTTTCGTGAGATTAGCAAGCAATCCAGAAGGCTCAGTTTTCATTGTTGTTATAGCTATGAAGGCTACAGGCGGTTTTTTCTTATATATATATTTCTAAATATTCTTTATATTTCTAAATATTCTTTATATTTCTAAATATTCTTTATATTTCTAAATATTCTTTATATTTCTAAAAATTCTTTATATTTCTATATATTCTTTATATTTCTATGTATTCTTTATATTTCTATATATTCTTTTCTTTTATAGGCGGTCTTTTTTTACCATTTAGATGTAATTTCTGATCAAATTGACTATTCTCTTTACCTCTCTGTCAATATTGTTGTTATTGGTGATTTTAATGCTCATTACACTGTATGACTTTAACACCACTGACCCTGCTGGCACTAAAGCCCATAACTTCTGGATTTCTCAATCTCTTACTCAGACAGTTAACTATGTAACTCGATTTCCTGACAATCCTAATCTCTTACCTTCACTCCTTGATTTTTGTTTTGTCTTTGACAGAAAATCTTTAACAGAGTCATTAACAAAGGTAGGTCTAACCTTTTATCTCCCATTTATGAGACTGATCTTATTACCTCTCCCAAGAATTGGGCTGAACTATTTGCAAAGAACTTTTCTTTTAATTTGACTCTTAAATCTTCTCATACTCTTCTTTCCATTCCGGTTAAACAGGTTAATCCATTGTCAGACATTCAAATCACTTCATCTTCCTTTTCTAAAGTCAAGCTTCAATTAAACTCACAACTATGGCTTGTGGTCTAAACAACATTCCTGTCAAAATTTTACTTGTTCTTCAGAACCCTTTTCAGTTCTCTCTAAATTATTCAATAAGTGCTTGACTTAGTTTTGTTGACATTGACAGTTAGAGGGGTCAGAATTTTCTACCAATTTTTATAAAATTGGAGCCAGAAATGCCATTTTCCTGCCTGCTGGAAAATGGCATTTTTGGAAAATTATTTACTGTCAGTCAATCAATATGGTTTTTCGATCTTTTTGCTCTATGGCTGATTTGCTAACTGCTATGACTGGAAGATTTTATAGTTCATTAGATGGAGGTGGCAAGACTATTACTTTTGATATATCTAAAGCTTTTGATAAAGTTTGGCTTATCTTCTCCATAAGCTTGTTTCTTTGGTGTATCTTATATACCATATATGACTTATATACATACATGAACTTTGGTGTATCTTATATACCATATATGACAAGATTTTGTGATTATTAAATAAATTCTTTCTAATCGCTTTATCAAAGTCAACCTTAAAGGCTAACACTCTTCTTCATTTCCAGTAACTTCTGGGTACCCCAAGGTTTTTGTCCTGTTTAGTTTCTTATCAACAATAATGATTTTATGACAATCTAATTTGACTCTATTTGATGATTACTCAACTTTATACTTTTGGTCTTGACAAAATGTTATTTTAATCGCTTAGAGCAGGCAACCAATCTTAATTCTGATCTCACTTCTGTAACATATTGGGGCTTGCAGTGGCTTGTGAATTTTAGTTTTTACAAAACTCAGTTATTTACTGTAAACAACTATTGCAATACTGTCCTAAATTAACGAATGACACAAGAAGACACAACAAAGAGGACTCACTGAGTCCTCTTTGTTATGTCTTCTTGGATTATTATTCACTACTGACCTCTAATGGAAACCATATGTACAATTGATTACTAAGTTAACATCTGCTAAGGTTGCTTTTCTTTATCACACTCACTATTTTCTTACTTGTAATTCTATTCTCTACCTTAACGAATTTCTTATTAGTCCCTGTACAGAATACTGTTGTCCTATTTGGGCTAGTTCTTCTAACTTTAATGTTAAATAGATGTAAGTGTTTGTTTTGCTTTAGCAGCTAAATGATTATCAGTTGTATTCAAAAGGTTTTTTTCTGACTAGATGCAGTGTTACTAGAAAAAACTTTACTTAAAAACGTTACTTTTTTCTTTTACTAGAAAAAGGCTGATTAAGTAAGAAAAAGGCTGATTAAGATTAAGGCTGATTTGACTTTTGTTGATTAAGAGTAAAAAGCTGATTAAGTACAATTTTGACTTTTGTTCGGCCAAATCATCAACCAATCAAAATCAACCACGTCTGACCATCTCTGTTAAGTACATCTAAAAAATTTTGATCAAAAGCTGATGAAAAATTTAATGCCTTATTCTCTTTTAAATATTGGCATCTAATGTTGCCATTTACAGTCACTAACAGCACTTAACTTACAGTCATTTATTTTTTCAGCTCATTTAGGAGTTGGTAAATAGATTCACCGTCTTTTTTTTTTTTTTTTTAAGTTGATTAAGGTGCCCCAAGAAGTCCTTACGGTCTTTACACAGGGCACTGCGGAAGAGCATTTAATAGGAAGTTCACGCCTCCTTCCCAACCAATGTCGCAAAACTTGCCCAGAGGTGGGGTTTGAACCACGGATCTTACGTTTCTGAGGCAAGTGCTACCATTGCGCCACGGCTGCTCAAGAACTTTGATGAAGTTCTAAATTGGTTTTATATAAATAGACTTCCTTTTGTTTAACCTAATCACACCTTATTATAATTAAAAAAATTCATATACTTTAGATTCTATGTTAAATTAAAATGTTAAGATATTATGCATTTTCAACATTATCATCTATATAACATTTTCAACAATACTACTTATAAAGTTTTAGTTTTACAGTATTAATAAAACTTTTTAAAATGGTAATCTTTTTATAAGTTTTTATAAGAGGGTAATTTTTTTTAAGCTTCTTCAACCAATACGAGATGCAGAAAAGGTGTTGGCAAAGTATGATATTTATATTGTTCCTGTAGTCAATGTTGATGGATATGAACATACGCATGTTGGTGAAAGGTTATGGCGAAAAACTCGAAGTAATTGTTCACCTAATACTAGATGTTGTGGAGTGGATCCGAACAGAAACTGGGACAATAACTTTGGAGGTAAGTTAAATTTATAAGTAATTTTACACTTTTGAAACTTTTTTTATATATTTTATTTTAATAAATTAGTTAATAAATTTTATAGTCTATCCATTAAAAAATAAGAAAGTTGTAGATTATTTAAAAAGATGCTTTCTGTAGTTTAGAGTTATTTTCACAAACTTAGATGTCATATTTATATTTAGGACCTGGAACTAGTACAAATCCATGTAGTGATATTTATCCAGGAAAAAAACCATTTAGTGAACCATGTGTTAAAGCACTTTCTGAAAGTTTAAATAAACTTAAAAATTCGGCTGGAGGTTTAAAATCCTACTGGAATGTTCATGCTTATAGCCAACTTTTACTCACTCCAGTTGGATATACCACCAATTTACCAAAGGATTACGATGAAATTGTAAGTTCTAAAACAATATATATATATATATATATATATATATATATATATATATATATATATATATATATATATATATATATATATATATATATATATATATATATATATATATATTATATATATATATACTATATCAAAAACAAACAAAAAACTGTTAATAAAATTACAAAATACAGTGGAGCGACATATGACATCTCTATGGAGACAAAACAAGAAAATGTCAGAAAAGTTTTATATAAATCAGCTAATCACCAGTATCATAAAAGGAAAGAAGGATTATTTTTATGTCTACAATTTGAAACCAACTCGTTCCTTTTGTTTAACAGATTTTCCTCTGTATGCATTAAAATATAAAACTTTTCATTAAGGCAAAGGTTACAAATTTTGGATAAAGGATAATATATTTGGCTGCGCTTGATAATATTCCACTTAGTAACAAACAACAAGTTTTCTTCTTTAAGTTTCCAAATTTCTTTAGATAATTCCGCATCATTTCTGTACTTAACTAAATTAAAAGACTTTAAATGGTTTGCATACCTTAACTTGTAAGGGGTCTCATTAATACCAAAATAAACTTTTTCTGTGTAATCTGGTTTACTGGATAAAACAGTAGCTTGATACACAATATTCTTACTTAGACACTGGTTGTTCATAATGCAGGTAGATTTATTGATGCAGTTGCAGGTTTTTGTTGCTGTTTTTTTATGATTGTGTAAATATTTTGATTATGTGAATTAATGACTGAATTAACATTTGGCATACACGAGTAGCTAATTTTAATGGTGTTTCTGTTCAAAATCTTGTGTAATAAATGACCAGCAGGAAAGCTTGCTGTAATGAACTAATAAAAAGATTGATCTCTTGATTAAGGTTTTATTTAACAATAATCGTACTAATCTAAAGATACAAAAAAATAGACATATTTAAAACAAATAGTTCAAGTTAGAAAACACAACAATCTTCCCATCTATGTAGAAAAAGCCTATAAACTAGTTTTTTCATTTTAAAATATAGTCCTCATATTTTACAGGAGTTTTACAAGCTCTTGCAGAATGTTGTAATACATCAGCAAATGGCTCAGTTACTGGCTCATCTACCCCAACTCTGATTTCTGATGTAATTTCAGGTGAGGGGCTTTTATTCACATCAAGTACTTTTGCAATTACATTCTCACTAGACTCATTGATACTAATCACATTGATATCATTAAACTTTTCTTTTGGGGCAGGATACGGTGCAAGATCTTGAAGTGAAACAGTTGACTTTCGTCCCTCAGGGTAACAAATATTAGCATATGTTGGATTTACATCCACTAAATTGACCATATCCGCGAGGTTATCCTTTTTGTTTGTGCACACAAAACATCTTAGAAAAATTGGCCCAGGAATTAACCATGAGGGTAACAAAGTTCCGGATGATGAGCGCCTAAGAAAACTGAATAACCTCTCATGGGGTGTACAGTTGCAGTTGAAAGTAGCGAACAGAGTAAGTGGAGAGCATCTGATAGAACAATTACCCAATTTCTAACATCTAGGTTGTGGGTTTTTAATGCCAAACAAATATTTTTCCAGATCAAGCCATTATATCTCTCAACTTGTCCATTACTGATAGGATGATATGGGGTAGAATTACTTGTTGTAATTCCTTTCTGAGTAAGGTAAGATTTTAATTCATTAGATATTAAAGATAAGCCTCTGTCATTAGATATTAAAGATAAGCCTCAATGAATGTATGTTGGCAAACCACAAAAGGAGAGTTTGATCTAATTATTTCACAACAGTTGTTGAACTAATATCAGGATATGGGAAAGCAAATGGATACCGAGAATATTCATCAATGACTGTAAACAGATATTTATTTCTAGAATTAGATGGCAATGGTCCTTTAAAATCTATACTTAGGCGATCCATTGGGCGTATTGACTTGATTAACTCACAGACATTTGAGGATCGATAAAACTTTGGTTTTAACTCTGAACAAATCTGGCAGTTAGAACTCTCTTGACTCTCTCTCAACTCTCTTGACCTCTTCTGTAGAAAAAGGTAAATTTTTAGATTTAACAAAGTGAAGCATACAAGTAACCCCTGGATGACATAGACAGCTATGTATATCACTTAGGTTTGTTTGAGATTGGGTTGTAGCTCAAAAACACTGAGTGCATCAGGGACAATATTATCACTTCCACGACAATACAATATAGTATAACTAAACTCTGCTAGCTCCATCCTCCAGCACTGAATCTTAATATTTTTAATCTTTGTTTTCTTTTGGTTATCAAGCATAAAAGCTACAGAATGCTGATCAGTAATTAATTTAAATTGATTCCGTAATAATAAACGTCGCCATTTTCGAATGGCTTCAATAATAGCCACAGTTTCTTTCATAGACACACCATTAGTAACTCCAAATGGAATTCTGCAAAATTGAAATAGTTTCCCATTTGCCTCAAATGCTTTATACTTTTTGTCTGAATTTTTAATAGGGGTTTGGTGGTAAGCACTTTTCGAGTCAAATGTAGAGGATACTTTGTACATTGCAGGTCCATTTATTGTATCATCTATACTGGGAAGAGGATATGCATCTAATTCAGTGTAAAGGTTAACTGTTTGAGAGTAATCAATACAAAGTCTTTTTTTGTTAGATTTAGTAAGATCCTTTACAACCACTACCTGGGCTCTCCATGGTGAAAAACATGGCTTAATTATATCATCCAATAATAATTGTAATATTTCACTTTCAATAAAGTTTCTATCATCATTATTATATCTTCTTGATTTTGTAGCTATTAGCAGAGTTTTGTCTAAAATGCTTGTAAACAAGGAAGATATTTTTAGTTTTGCCATTTGCAGTGCCCATAGGTTATTTTCCTTTGTAACAATTAAGTCTTCTTTTTCTCCACCGAGTGGGAATATCAAATTTTTGTGTAGTTTTTGGAAGTCCTAACCAAGTATGATATCATTACAAAGATTTTCTAAGACAACAAATTGAACATTATTATAAAATAAACCATTTACTTTAAGATTAACCGAGCAACAACCTGCTAATTCAGACTCCATTGTTGTGAGGGCCATCAAAATTTTCTTTTTACTGGGTAACGTTTTAATTTTTAAAGTCTCAATAATTTTCTTGCTTATAAATTTATCTAAGCTACAGGAATCGATTATTGCAGTTAATGGTTCATCATTAATTCTGACAATAACAGCTGCATAAAAGAGGTTCAACGTACAACCACTTGAAACAGTACACAAACTTGGCCTATGTATTGCAGCTGAAACACTGTGGGTTATATTCATCGGCCTGCCAAGACAAACTTTGGAAAAATGACCTTTTTTTCCACATTTAAAACAGGTTACGTTTTGAGCTGGGCAATTTTTCCTAGCAGAGGTTTGATTACGTTGGTTGTGAGATTGATTACCACAATAATTGCATTTTGTTTGTGGATCAATAGGCATAGCATTGAGTGCTGCTGAGGGTTCTTCTGGTAATTTTATAGTGGCAACAATATTTGAATTGGAGGAAGATGAGGATGTTTTCTGCATATAAGTATCTGAGTTTCTTTGTGCGATGTCAAATGAACGAGCTTGGTTAAATGTTGATTGCAAATTCAATGTTGAATTTTCAAGAAGTCTTTGACGATTTCAAATTTATTCCAGAAATAAAAGCATCTCTTATTTGTTCTTCTCGATATTGTTCAGCTGAAACATCCTTATAATTACAGTTTTTGCTGAGTTTACGTAGTTCCTGAAGAAAGTCTTCTAAAGATTCACTTAATGTTTGATGTCTTATAAGTAACTGATACCTTGTAAAAATTTCATTAGGGGCTTTTATATATAAGTTTTCTAGGGTTTCAATAAAACTTTCATAGGAATCACACTCTTTGCTGTAGTCATAAACATTTGATGAAACAAAATTAATGGTGGAGCGAAATTTGTCTGGAGCATCCTCTCCATAATACTCAATGAAATTCTCAAATGTTTGTTTCCAATGCTTCCATTCTTTTGAAAAGTTGGTGCATTATGTTCAAGATCAAGCCTCGTAGGTTTTTAAATTATTTTTATGACATTTCCCAATAATTTTATATGTTGTTAAATAAATTATAATGAATTAATAAAAAGATTTACCTCTTGATTAAGGCTTTGTTTAACAATAATCATACTAATCTAAAGATACAAAAAAATAGACACATAAAACAAATAGTTCAATAACAACAATAGAAAACACAACACTTGCATCAAAAAATGATTACCTATCTTTATCGCAATATTTTTACTATATATGGAATTATACCAAATAATGTTCGGTTTGTGACTTTGAATGGGTTCTATATCTGACTGATATTTGAGCTTTGATGAGAAACCCGATTTTAACAATGCATCCTAATAGGGAGAAATAGTTTTTTCAAAAATTTCTTTGATTAAAGATGCAGTAGAAAATCTTAGTTCAATTGTTCACAGTAGACTTTCTAATATGCATGGAGGGTGCTAGAGTTGGTGTGTATATAATTAAGAATGTTAACTGGCTTTGAGTAAGGTTGGAAAGAACTGTTGCTAAGATTTAGTGTTAAGTCAAGGTAATTGACAATTTTAACATTACAGCTGATAGATAAATGGAGACCATTGCTATTAAAAATATTTACAAAATACTTCTTTTTTTTTTTCCATTTGTTGGCCACTACAGTTTTTAAAAATAGCTAGACCGTTGTTCCGATATAAACCTAATTCTTTCCCATTGTAATATTGAGATAGTTGGTGCAACATAAAAATTCCCACCAATTCGCATATTCCTGCACCATCATAAGCACCCAGTTACATAGTTACATCAAATAATTCTCCCCTTTTTTTTTAATCCAAGAATCGCCATTAGTAAAGATTAAAGATTTTCTTGCGTGTATAATAAATTTCCTATCTTCTTGATTTATAACTATGCTGTCCAGCAAACTCTATTGCTCTGAAAACATTTGCCATAGTTCTGGCATACTATGTTAATTGTTACAACTTTTTATGACTTCAGTACTTTCTTTGACTATTTCACATATATTTTACAACTCTTTTGACTTTGAATCTTAATTTTTTACTTTTGTTTTACTTTAAGCTAAAACTAAATCTATTAACATGAGTTCTACTAAGCAGCTCTTGGAATTAGGGTCAGCATTCGGTAATACCGACTTTACTGTTGATCTAAAAATGTCTAAAGTTTTTTTTGCAGATCTCGCTTCTTTATTGTTATAGTAAAACCTTTGTTTTAAAAAATCGTGACCAAAAATAGTTTAAGGTTGGTAAATTGTTTAAGGTTGGTAAACCTTATTTAAATAAACCTTGTTTTTTCTTATTCCAAGGACTAAGTGAATTTTTAAATATATGGTTTAGAAAATCTAGTCAATTGTTGACCAAATTTTGGTCGTAGGTTGGAATAAAGTTTAGATATTGTAGGATTTTGATTATTCTATCAGGTAAAGTAAAAATTTTAAAAAGAATGTATAGCGATGGCTATATAATTGCCTTTAAACTGAATGCTAACTTGATGTTACAATTCACACAACAAATTTGATTTTATAAATTCAGGAAAGAGTTGGCAATGTGTTTGCTAAGGCAGTTCGGGCAACATTTGGAAGAAGCTTTGAAGTTGGTCCTCCATCAAGAATTTTATGTAAATACATTTTTTTAAATTGTTTTGCTTTGTTTTAATACAGTTAACGTCATTATTGCTATGTTATATTTAGATTCAGTTGGAGGTAGCAGTATCGATTGGACATATGACAATTTAGGAGTAATTTACTCTTACGTTCCTGAATTACGGCCATCAGGAAATGCTGCAAATGGTTTTATTGTACCGCCCTCTGAGATTCGCTACTCAGGAGAAGAGTTTACTGCAGGATTCTTGGCCGCAGCACTTGAAATGAAATAAAATTTGCAGCCGGAATATTGACCGTGTTGCATCAAATTAAAGATTTAGAAACCTATCAAGTTATTATTTTAACAACTGTAACTTTTGCATATTTTGTATGTAATTCGATGTCTAATAACGATTTAGTTTGAGTTTTATTTTTGAAATTTTTTTCTTCTTCTTCTTCTTCTTACGCTTTCTTCTTATTTAGATATTTTATCCCATTTTGTATGTGTGCGTATGTTTTATATTGTATGTGTGTGTATGTTTTACTCTGCACAAACCTAATAGCGATAAACCTAATAGTATGTTTTACTCTGCACAAACCTAATAGCGATGTTTAGATTAACTGACTTATCAAGTCGATGTTTAGATAATTGGTTTTGACTTAATTAGCTTATTTTTACTGAATCTCTCCTACCACGCTCACTAACAAAAAAAATCTTCAAAGTTTTTTTTTTTTTTTTTAATTATAAAAAATGTGTACATTTGATTGGTCACCATTTTTAGTTTTTTTAAACCTTTTAAAAAATATCATTTTATTTATTAAACAAATCACAAACAAGATAAACAAGTAGATAAGCTAAACAAGTCTTTTAAAATCAAACACTTTGTATAAGCAAGTTTTCTTTTTCAAACTTTATATAATAGTTTATATTGTATAATGTAGTTCGTTTTCAACTTTTATTTGGAAAATCGATGTCGGAATAGTTAAGATTAAGCACCGGCAAAGTTCTTTGCCGGTGAATCTGCTTTTGGTTTCTTTTTTAACGATGGCTAACTATATAAAGAAATTATTTTAACAAAAAAATAGTTCTTTTATATTATCAGTTTTGTATAATTATTTTTAAACATTAATGTTTGAAACGTAAATAATTTGAATTTGGTATTTAATCCGCACGTATAAATTTTCGTGAAAACGCACGTAAAATCCATAGCGCTAAACGGATAAATCAGATATTACAAAATAAAGGAACAAATAGGGTAAAACACCGAACGATGTTCGAACTGGTAAAACATCAAACAATGTTCGACAATATTTTCAAACTAGTCCTAAATAAAAGTTATTTTTTCGTTTTTTTTTTCACTCAACTGGTTTTTCTTTTTAAGTTTATTCTGGTTTAGCTGATAACATTAGCTTCCTTTTTGCCACCACTAGTTTGATAAAGCTAAGCGTTACCAATGTTATGATTTATGGTTTAATTTGTAAACCAAAAAATTAGTAGTAAAATAAAAATTTTTCCCAAACCATTTATCTCTAGGTTAAAATGACCCTGATCCACCAAATTTATAAGGTCTATTCTCATTTGTTTCCCTCATTAAACGCTTATCTTTCAATAGACTAGACAATCAAAAAAGGATGATGGACAGTTTTGTTGGTTTTACATTTAAACATAAAACAAAGAATATTAAAAACATTTTATTAACAATAATAATTTTAAGTAAGAGAGACCTTGAGTTAGAAGAATGATTTTTAAAATTTATAAGACGTGCAAATTTATTGGTACTACTCCAAGCAATACTAACATAATTAGCGTAATTAAAATGACAGTTTATAAAGGTTAATATAGTTGAGTGAATGAGAGTTTGTTTAAAACGCTTCTTGTTTTATATAAAACTTTGTATAACACTTTTTGTAATTTTTTTGTGAATCTTCCACGACAGATTTTCAACTATATAAGAATCTACAAATTTTTTAGATGTCTAGAAAGTTTGTAGATAACACTCTTTGTAGGCGTCACTCTTATTATTTAAATGTTGTCAAGATAAAAAAAAGGCTTATCGCTTTTTTAAGTAAACTTTTTTAAGCTTGAACAGAAGAACCAGTCAGAGATTTTTGATAGCTAAAGGTTTATTTTAGAAAAAGGTTTGTCGATGTTATCATTAGATAGAAATAGGTCTGTATCATCAGTAAACATATGTGTTGTTAATTTTGGGACATTTTAGAGATCATCAACATAAGTTAAAAAGAACAACAGTTGCGGAACTCCACAGAGAATATTTAAATAATCATATACAGAATTATTATAAATAGCTTTTAAGTAGAATTAAAGCCCTACCAAAGATACCATAAAATTCAAGTTTTTTTAACAGTATTTCATATTCAATAGTGTCAAAAGCCTTAGATAAATCTATAAAAACGCATAAAGTAAATTCATACTTTTTAAATGAATCAGTTTTACTTCGAGTAAGGTAATTTGTTGTATGTTTAGTAGAGTTATTTCTTTTAAAACTTCATATAAAGTAATTAATAAAATAATAAGATAATAAAATTAATAGCAAGATGATTAAAATATTTGATTAAAAATAATTTTTTTAAATTTTTTTGAAAAAACACAGAGAACAGATATTAGCCAATAATCACTAACATTTGATTGGTCACCAACTTTAAATATAGGCATAATTTTAGCTATTTTTAAATGGTCAGAAAAAATTCCTTGATTTATTATACATTTAAAAAGTTTAAAAAGAATATGTTTTATAGTATTGTTTGAATATTTGGCTATTATTACAAATTATATCATCAGGACCGTTTGTTTTGTTTTTTTAAGCATTTTAAAATTTTAATTTTATAGTAAATCTATTTAATAGTAATACCGTAAGATGGGGTAACATTGCCCCTTTGAAGGTAATTTTGACCAGAAGTTGAAAATAGTTGTGATGTTATTTTGACAATAGGATTAAGATGTTGACTTTTATCCATCACATTTTAGGTGGCAGTACTAGCATTACTTCTTACTTGATGAAATATTCGACACCTCTTCAGTAGTGTCACATCATAGTTTTGAAGAAGTGCTGAATTTTGTTATCATTCTACTTTAAATCTATTTGAAATAGTTTTCATCATAATTTTGAATAAATGCTGAATGTTGTTGTCATTCTACTTTAAATCTATTCTACTTGAATGCCGCCTCTAAGGTAATTTTAGACTGGTTATGGTGTTTATATTTGATTTTATTAAGTTGTTAAAGGTATTCTTAGTATATGAATTTACTTTGCAGTTTCCAAACTGTTTTACTTTACAATTTTACAACAATTTTACTTTTTATAATTCTTTTACTAAAACTTTAGCCCAGATTTGGGGTAACTTTGGTGCAAGTTGTCTCTGAACCAAAGTTACCCCAAGTAACATATCTTGATTTTGGACATATATTATTTTAAATTTATCTATACATGATCGAAAATCTGTTAAAACTATAATTTATCGCCAATGACCGCTGTTGTTGCTTATTAATTTTGATCACAGTTTTTTTTATCTGTGTTTTTAAGTTTTGTTGGGAGTTTTTAATATCTATTACATTATTACCATTCTTATTAATCTTTGTATTAAATTTTATGCGTTTAAAACTTAAAAGTTTAAAAAGTATTTGTTTTTGAAGAGGTTTGTTATATAAATTTTAAATATTTGTTTGTTTTATGTGGTTAATAATTTCCTTATTTTCAAATTTTATTTTATCAAAAACATGAAAAGTATTCGCGTTCACGACTAAAACAAATTTTTAAAACTGCAGTATATATTGAAAGAGATTATGAATAAGTATGATGAATGCTATGAATGAATGCTAACCCTAAGAGAAGCAGAATGTATTGTATATCTAGATCTACAATAAAAAAAACAAAAACTGAAAGGCTTTCATATAAAAAATGTGGGGTATGTTTGAATTTTCAATAACAAAGAAGAGTTGGTTTTTGAACAGCATTTAATAAAAATATCAGAACTTTGATTTCCAGTAGCAAAGCTTTACTTTTGATATGTAATAAAGGGTTATCTAGATAAGAAATTTTTTTTGTATTAATCTGTTTAAAATAAATCTCTCTGAATAAGAAAGAACATTAATTTTAAAAAGGAATAAAAGTTCAAATTGCAGTATAAGCTTTAACATAAAAAAAGTGACGTTTACCTAACGTTGACCTGACACTGTGCTGCCGATATTATTAAAAAAAAGTGACCTGACGTTGTGCTGCCGATAATATAAACTACATAGACAATTTAAAAGAGGTTATCAAAGGTGTTCCACACTCTTATTTATAGAAATACAATGAGAATAATTTTACAGATAATCCAGGAAACACACGCAACCATAGCAAAAATGAAATCCCGCTCATGTTTACAGGGAAAGCTGAAGGGCTAACCTTATCCCCGTTTGTTCTATACAAGACAAAAAATTTGTGATCACTTGGACAGAAAGCGGGCAAAAAAGAACGCACTTAAACACGCTAAAAGTAGATGGTTTGATGCTGTGTTGTTTGAGGACTGGTTCGAATCAACTTTTTTGCCTAGTGTTAGAAACCAAAACGGGTTAAAACCAATTATTGGGGATAATTTATTTTTTAATATCAGTTTACATCTGCTTAATAAAAGTGTTCGATTTGTTTGTCTTCCTCCAAATTTAATCCAACATTAACCACTTGTTGCTTTTTTGCGCCTATGAAAAGATCATGGTACGGAATACTGAGCAACTGAAAAAAGTCCACTTCAGGGTCTTAATTTTCAACAACCTATAAAGATTATTTTCCGACATTGTTGAAAGAATTAATGACAAGTTTTGAAGTAAATTAAGAGGAGATTTTTATGGGTGGGTTTGAAAAATGTGGAATATATCCTTTTAATAAACAATAATATAGCGCTTAGACGTTCTATTGTTGTTTATTAAATAGATAAATTCAGGTAAAATGTTTGCCTAAAAACCAGCATCTAGATAAAAATGCTGTCTGCAAAGCTTGCCTTGAACAGTTAAAAAAGAAAAGGATAGAGTTTTTTTAATAAAGATGGTACAAAAATGAGGGGAAAAAAATCTAGGAGCCTGCTGGCAAGAGTGTAACACTTAATATTATAACAGTCATTTCAAAAGCAATTCCAAAACCCATTTTATCAAAGAAGACACGTTAAACCTCGTTAAAGACCATGGACCAAAACCACTGTTTATTTTAATTATGTTAAATAACTATTGTATTTCTAAAGCTTTTTGAGTGTTGAGATGACTTCAAGGGCTAAGAAAACTCTGACATCGTAGTCCATGATGTTAGAGTGCTGAGATAACTTCAAGTGCTAAGAAAACTCTGACATCATAATCCATGATGGTAGAGTTTTTTAATATTATAATATAGTTTTTTTAAATGGTTTTTTTTTTCTTTGGTATTTCTTTTTTAATAGATTTCAGGAGTGTTTTAATTTGAAAATAAGGTAAAACTTTATGAAAACTTATATGACAAACATACATGATAAACAGGCATGTCAAACATACATGACAAACATAACAAACATGCATACCATTAATTTTCATTTGTTTAACCTTAACCTGATCCAATGCATAAGAAACATAGGGCTTATAGCCAAAGATACCCCAATCCAAGATAACATTAGCCCAAAATTAATAGTATTTGAAATTTTAAAAATTGTCATAAACTAAAGCGCTATGTTTATTTAATTAAACCAGTCACTTAAGGCATCGATATATGGCCTTTTTTCAGGTCTGCAATTACTTCTTCCAAAAAAAGGCACAAAGTGTTGAGTCAATATTTCCCCATTATACTATACCTTTTTAAAAAATTTTTCTTTGACTTATATAAATGACTTTATTTTCAGATGTTAGTTTTTTTAAGTACTTTATAAACAGTTTTTTATTTTTAAGGGTTTCTTAAGATCTTAAGATCTTCAAAAATATCTGAAAATTTTTGAAGTTTATTAGAAATTTTAAAAATGGAAATTAGATTTCTGTTTTTTAAATTCTGCCCTTAGGAGATAAAAAAAAAAGTTTTTTTAACTGGGACTAAATGTCGTTTTATTGGTGGTTTTTATTTTACAAGCAACCAATGGGGTGATATTAGTATGTTAATTAAAAGTAAATGCTGATACTTTTACAAATATTGTAGGATAATATAGTCGTTTTTAAAACATTGCTAAACAGTAATCGACTCAATATATATATATATATATATATATATATATATATATATATATATATATATATATATATATATATATATATATATATATATATATATATATATATATATATATATATATATATATATATATATATATATATATATATATATTTTTAAACAATTGTTGATATTACAATAATTTGTTAAATAAACTCTTTCCTATTTGTTATAACGAGTTGTCCTCGGGTTGATGTTTAGGGCCGTCCCGAAGGGTGGATGTCGGGGTGTCCCACCCCGCCCCCCCCCCCCAAAGCTGTCCTCAGGTTGATGTTGTTATTGAATGATTATTGAAAGATGTTATTCAAAGATATGAAAGCATATGACAGGATGTATAATTTAACTATAACTTTCAACGAAGTTATACCTTACATAACAAGCTCAAATAAATATCTAACATACCTGCATTATTAACAAAGGCCCGATGTAACTAGCTAAAATAACTACCTAACATACCTGTTTTAATAAAAACCAATATATAAATATATGTTGGTTTTTATTAAAACAAAAATCCTTAAATGATTTTTAAGGATTTACGACAATATTGTTTAGATTTTGCTTTTTTCTAATTTCCGAATACTTTTTACATTTTTTAAAAACTTTCTATTTAAAAAAAAAATAATAAAAAAAAAAATTATTAACAAACAAAAAAAAATTATTATTATTCTTTTTTTAAATTAGAGTTAAATAATTATCGAAAAAGGTTTGTTTACCAAACAAGCAAAATGGACGTCTTTTAAAAAGTAATTATTTTTAAAATGAAATTAGATTTCTTCAAAACTTTTAAAAAAAAATTAAACGTGCATTTTTACATTCTTTGTACAAGTGATGACAAAACTCTTAAAACAAAGAAAAAACAATAAACTTTTAATAAATTATGTTTTAATTGAACATTATTATATTAGTAAACACACCTTTTCAGGCTGTGTTTGTTGAAGCTCAGAAACTCGCTTAAACGTTTAAATAGCTGAAGATCTTGAGATTTTCATTGAAAGCAGGATCAAAATGAAGTTGGCGACCGCTTGCCTTTTGCTTTTGGGTGTAGTTTGCGCTGAACGAGTTCATTACTTTGGGTAATCTTTATTTTTATCATATTATATATATATATATATATATATATATATATATATATATATATATATATATATATATATATATATATTGAAGTAATAAATTTATTTATCTATTATATTTTTACTATTTTAACCAGAATATTTCTTTTTCAAGAATATATATCTTAAGAAATTAAAAAGTTTAACTTACAATATTCACCAATAGTGATAAAGTTTTTCAAATTACTCCAAAAACTGAAGAAGAATCCGATTGGTTGCATTCATGGATAGAGTCTACTACAATAAAAGTACGTATTAATTTTATCTTTTTATTTATTATTATTTGTTTTATTTTTGTTTGTTACTTTTTATTCTTGTAAATAAAAATGCAATTTGTATATAGCTTGATGTTTGGCGCAATCCAAAAGGAGCCGGTCGCGCAACACATATTCATGTAAAAGCAGTTGATGTGGAAAGTGTGACTGAAGTCTTAAAACAAAAAGCTATAAATTTCACAATAACCATCGACGATTTAGAAAAAGTGATTAACCGAGAACATTTTCATAACCAACTTTTCTCATATAATACTGGCGTATATTCTTTTGACAGATTTAATAGATATTCTGAGGTAATTTCTTCTTTGTGTGTAAATTAATTTATTTAACTGTAATCAATTTTTTTTTTAAATTTAGAATACACGAATTTTTCAAAACGTAAAAAAAATTCTAAATATTTTATTGTCAATATTTTAAAATCCTGTTTATCTAAATACTGAAATCTGAAATAATTTAAAATCCTGTTTATCTAAATACTGAAATAAGCGTATAAATAATCTTGTATTAATATGTATTAATTATTGGCATATGTATTAATTATTTAATTTAATAGAACCTTCTAAAAGCCTTTCATATCCACTAAAATTAGAATAATGAAAAGGTTGTCTCGATCGTTTATCGTCAATTAAATTATCTAATTATCGCTAGTTGAAATTTGTTGACGCTTTCTTTACTTTGCAACATCATCATACCATCAACATCAGCTTTATTTATATAACATCGTTTGAACATCATCTCATTATAATCACTTTGTTGTTGCTAAAACAATATGACGAATGGCAGAGGTATCATAAAAATGTTTATGTCAACTAACGTTCAAAATATGTTTTACATAATTATATATTATAAATATAATACTTCTTTAGACATATAATTTATATATATATATATATATATATATATATATATATATATATATATATATATATATATATATATATATATATATATATATATATATATATATATATGTTTAATATATATATAAATTACATATCTATCTATCTATCTATTTATATATATATATATATATATATATATATATATATATATATATATATATATATATATATATATATATATATATATATATATATATATATATATATATATATATATTAGGGTCTGCGAATCGGCATTTGATTTACGAGTCAAATCAAATTACGAATCGAACCACCGATATGAGGAAATCCAATTTTTAGCATCTTTTTTCAAAAAAAAAATTATACTTAAAAGTTTTTTTTTGTCCGGAATAATTTTTTAGCGCTTGTTTAGAAGCAGTATTACAATTACTTTCGATTGCAATTACTTTACTCTGGCTGAAGTAAATAAAAACATTTTTATAACATCTTAACGTTGAATATCTGAAAAAAGAACAACACTAACAAAATTAATAGCGATTCAAAAAACTAGAATCATTTTTTTCAAATCGAAGCGACACATGATTCGCGAATCGAATGACAGGGCCCTAATATATATATATATATATATATATATATATATATATATATATATATATATATATATATATATATATATATATATATATATATATATATACACACATTATATCGTATATAAATACAAGTAATATTCAAACGTGAGTTATGATGTTGCTAAACAAAAGTTTTCAAACAACTTTCAACATTTGTTGAACGTCATGTAAAGCTTTAGCTATTTTTAAATTGGCTATTATTTGTTTGTCTTTTTATGTTCAGTGTAGTTATAAAAAAATTTATCTTTCAAACTGTGTCTATGCTATAGGTTTGAATTTACTGACTTGAAGAGTATGTGCGAGTTATCGGAATTGCTAAAGGTGTACCTTGATGATACAAGGTTAATTAAGCATAAGATAAATGTTCGACAGTATATACGGAATTTCAAAGCGTCCTCTTTAATTTCTTTGTTTATTATTCAAAACACTCGTTTATTTTTTCGTTAATCAGCAGCTTCAGCGTATTTGATTTATTCACCTTATTTTTATATAATTGTAAACATGAATTATGACCTAAGTACTTTAAAACTATTGAGTTAAACTTCTGTTAGAGGTTTAATTCATGATCATAATTACCAAAATTTAATTAAACTGATTTTTTTCTGCTTTTATTAAAGATTTTTTTTCCATCCCAATGGATTAGCAATCATTGGGATGAAAAAAGTGGAGCGTTAGTTACTAAACAAATTCTGACTGTACAGCAAGGCGTGTGGTAAGCTCGGTAAGGTTCGTGTACTTTTAAGACGACAACTTTGGAAACAGGCATAAAGCATTTTGCAGAACGCAATATGGGGTTGTCCATTAATTACGTCAACAAAATAGGGGGAAGGAGGGGGGTCTACACTTTTTTGACATTTGTTGACATGGGGGAGGAGGGAGGTCATTGAAAGTTGACGTCAACAATTTTTTCTTTTTTTTTTGAGTTTCATTACTTAAATAACGGAAAATTAGGCTGAAATTGTAGCGCAGTTTCTTTGTATAGGGGGAGGGGGTAATCAAAGGTTGACGTAATTTTATAGGGGGGTCTTTGGAAATTTGACAAATTGTTGATATTGGGAAGGGGGGGGGAGGTAGAATTTTTAAAAAATTTGTTTATGTAATTAATGGAAAGCCCCTATATAAGTATAATCAGAGGTGATTTTATGGGGGGGGGGGGTTTACAACCCCGCCCCCCCTTCCTCCACAAAAAAAAAAAGTTGATTTTTAAGTCGAATTTTTTCAAGAAGTTAGTCAGTTTCATCATAGAAGCTAATCATTTTTAGGGATTCACCCTTCCTTCCCCCCCCCCCCCTCATTTTATTGGTAGAGTCGGTAGAATATAATATATGATTATTAAGCGTCATAATGATTACTTTATTGAAACAAAAAATAGTCATAAATAAAAATTAAATGAAGAGTCATAAAACTTTTTATTTAAATTATAAATGCATTTAAATTTTTGCAATTTATTATTTTAAAAAATGAAATACATTAAAATCCAAAATTAATATATATATATATATATATATATATATATATATATATATATATATATATATATATATATATATATATATATATATATATATATATATATATATATATATATATATATATATATATATATATGTATAAATATATATATATATATATATATTATATATATATATATATATATATATATATATATATATATATATATATACATATATATATATACATTATATATATTATACATTATATATATGTATATAATATACATTATATATATATATATATTATAAATTATATATATAACTATACTTACTTTTATTTTTTTTATTTATTAATTTATTTATTTTATATATATAAAAAAATTATTAATTATAGTTACTGATAAAGTAAAAGAATGCAACTTTGCTGAATGAAGATTCAAAAAGCTCCATTAACCAAAACAAGTTTTACTTAATAAAACTAGAGATGATAGCTTGTTTGAGCAGCAATTTAGGTTTGTTGAACTCTCAAGAGAGAATGTAAATGTTTAATTATATAATTAAACATTTACATTCTCTCTAGAGAGTCCAACTAATAAAGTTTAATTATATAATTAAACATTTACATTCTCTCTAGAGAGTTCAACTAACCTAAATTGCTCCTCAAACAAGCTATCATCTCTAGTTTCATTAAGTAAAACTTGTTTTGGTTAATGGAACTTTTTGAATCTTCATTCAGCAAAGTTGCATCCTTTTACTTTATCAGTAACTTCATACTTTAAAAACTTTTATTCATCTAGTTTATTTCCTTGCACATCAATCCTTTGAAGCACTCTGTTTTCCTGACTAATGTAATTTAGAGTTTTTAAGTATTCTGTCAACTATTTTCTTTCTATATTCTTTGTTTTTTGGTAATTTCCAACTTAAATAGTGGTTGCTTTCAGCCTTGTTGATATTGAATTAGTATTAAAAACAAAAGGAGATACTAAAGATAAAACTCATGAGCATCCATACGTTAAGTTAAATTAAGTTGCCATAAAAGTCTTTGTTTTTCTAAAATCTGAGTTATATGACAAATTAATCTAAACAAGTTGTTGAAAATTGTTCAAATTTTCTTTGATGACAAATGCAAGTTATATATGTTTTAATCGTAAGTCTGTTGTGTAGTGCCAACAAACTGATTAACTAGTTTTCCAATTTTACAATTACGCTGTTTTCCAGACAAAGTGGAGAAAGAAAAAAAAATAATGAAATTTGCTATTACTCTTTTAAATCTTTTTCACAATATAAGTTATTAAATTTTTGTCTGTATAGTGGCATTTGGTCAATAATTGATAATCATAAAAATTAAAAGTTTATTAAAGATTGTTCTTTTAGTTTAACTGTATTAAATATAGTAATAATAATGTTGTATTGATTATTTCTTCAAAAATTTAGATTGATGCACAACTAACACAGTTTGCAAACACAAACTACAATCATGCTAAAGTCAACAAGTTTGTTATGGGAACAACTTTTGAAAGAAGACAAATTAATGGAATTAAGGTAGCTATGAGGGGTTTTTTTTTAAATAGTTTTAAAAATATTTTTATAGTATAAACAACTTATTAAGAAAAACATTCAATACTAAACACAAACAAAAATGTTTTCATTTGAACAAATCACAAGGAAACAGAGCTATAGAGAAGAATCTTTTATAAGGATTAAGTTTTTAATTTTTTTAATTTTTTTTTTTAAATCATATTAATTTAAAAAAAACAAATTAAATTAAATATAAAAGTCTTAATTATGCAAACTCTTTTGTTAATTATTCTTAAAACAAAACAATTTTTAAATATTTCTATGCAATATTTTATTCATGAAAACTTAAAAAAAATACTCAACTAAAACAATATAAGTATATTTAATAATTTGAATTTTATCTGTTTATAATAAACATTCGTTAAAGTTTGTTCATTAAAAATTAAGCTCCTTAACTTTTAAATAAAATCAAAAGTATTTTCAATCTATGTATAATTACAAAACTCTTTTTTTGGTTTCCAAGCAATTTAATTTTGAGTAATAAAATTTAAAAAAGGAGAATAAATATGAAGTATTCTTTGTTAAGAAAAAATTTAATTTATTTATTGATCAATATTTATTTTTATTTATATACCAACTTAAATAAAATATACTAACAAGTTAAAATGTTTTAACATGACTTTTGCTGTAGGGTAGCTGCCCTTACAGCACTCTTATGGTTTTGGATAAAATTTTATTTTGAGGAAGATCGCTCAAATTACATATGATTTAAATAACATGTCTTTTCTTTATCTGTGATAGTTTCAATTCAAAAAGTATCGGCAAAGTCCCAGGATTTAAAAGTTTTCAAAGTAACTCTTTTATCCTTCGAAATTCAATCTCTATATTTGAACTTTAAACAATTTGGAGAGAATAGAAATATATGAGTTTATCTTATTTTAGATAAACATATTAGAAAAATGCATAGTCATTAGTAAAGAATAAAGACAGTTATTAAATTAAATTGTGCCTTAGTATTAATGGAGTCTGTAATGTGCACGTGCTTAATGAACCTCTGTTATACAAATATATTTAACGTAATATTTATGTCATCAGCGGATGTTATAATCTACTCATGATTTCTTTAACTTCATAATATATCTTGATTTATGAAAAAAAAAAATTATTGAATCGCACGCAGAATAAATTTAACAAATTGTCTTTGTTCAAAAATTAAATTGAAGATAAATTGTTCTTAAATTGTTCATATATTGATACATTTTTTTTTAATATTTCAAAAAAATGTCTCACTATTTTTACTATCAGAGATTACAGAATATAAATATAGATTTTTGTAGAGTTTTTTACTGAATTTTTATTAAAAACATTTGCAAAAAACTTGTAGTTATGGATTGACAAACTTTTTCATGTTGCTTAATAGTTAGATAAAAAACTTAGCATAAAATTACGTTCAATATAAAATTGTTAAAGATAAGAATTATCATCGCAATAAAAAGTTGCAACAATAATTTTTAACGTAACTTCTTTCAAACTTTTGTACAAATATTTTTACATTTCGTTACTCAAAAGTCAATGTGGTTTTTTTAAAAATTAAAAATACTCCTATTATCTTACCACTAATTTAAAAGTTAAAAAATGATAAAAAGTAGCTTAACCATAATCGCTTACTGCGTACGTAAAAAATCGCTTAAGGTGTATGTAAGTTGTTTTATGCATAACTCTTTAAAACAATGCCTGCTGCACATAGCCAGAATTTTTATTTTCATTTTAACTTTAAATGAAAGTTTGCATTTGCGATTTTTTAATAAATTTTTTTAATTTGATTGATTTATAAATTAGATAGCGCAACTTCAAGGCGTAAAAGTTTACAATGTAATATTGTCGAACTAACAATAAGATATTTTATTGATTAAGATGCTTTCAAAATGCTGAAAATACCTCTTTACAAGTTGAACTATCACTCACTACAACAAAAGGATCAGTTTATAAATTCCTGAAGAATCCAGAGGAAAAAAATGGAGTGATACTATCTTAAAAACAGATTTTATTGTTTCAGACTTTACAGCATATATGTTGACTGCATTGAATAGATGATGCACCTTTTGAAAGAAAATATGGAAAGCAATGGCATTTAAACCCACCATCTGTTTTTAAAAATACTCCGCCTAGTTGTTTACCCACACCTGTAAAGTTAGAAAAACTGTTTTCAAAACATTTTACCAGATGAGTTAAATGATTTTCTAAAAGTGGATGAACTTCTATTTGATGGTATTGGTGATGTATCTGATGTGTTGATTATATCTTTGTTAAGTGATAAAAAATTGTTATTAATTTCCAGCTTAATATAAAAAGTTTACGCATACAATCAAAAATGTACAAACTTGGTCTTCCATTATTTTTTTAGATCAAACAACAAACAAACAAAACTTTACAATCTGTAAAGTTTTATTTTTTTTGTTAACTGCCATTAGCACTCATTCAGAGACTAAAAATAAAGCATTTGAAGGTACTGCTGTATTTATTGAAATAACTTTTTCTTTTTGGAATGTTGTTAATTTCAAAGCACCGCTTTAGAAATGAATTATGTAGAGAAATCCACTCAGTTGGTGATCAATAGTTACACCTGCTGCAAGATATTGCTGAACTGTCAAATTTTTATGAAACCTACAGGTAAGCATGTTAAACAGCTTATGCTAGATACCAGCAATGCAATAGCGAATACATGTTATGACTTAATTAATCTCATAAAAACTTTGTTGAGTAATGGAGCAAAGTATGTTTTATTAAGTTGGTTTTCAACAGATCCACTTGAACAAGCTTTTTCTAAGCTTCGACAGGGATCTAGAGGTACTTAATTTATGAACGCTAAATCTGTAATTGAAAAAATTCATATTCAACATACTAAAATGATATTACAACTTTGACATTCCTGTAGATGGTACCATGGTCATACTTGCGCCATATTTTGTAGAGATATTTCAGCTGATTAAAAATTAACTGCTAGATAATAGACATGATCTTGAAAGCTCAGTTAATAAATCTAAATTAGTGGTTATATTTTCCATAGCTGGCTATGTGCAAAATAGTGAAATAAAATAAAGTAAAAATTGTGATAACAATAGCAATTATTATTATAAATATTGAAGTTATCTGAATAGCCTTAACAGAGGCGGACTTGAAGTTGCTTCTGATACTCTTATTCAATGGTAAATATTTTGCTTTTTATTTTTTCCAGGTGCTACTGGCGCTTTATACTTAGATTTACTATTTATTATATACTGGCATATATATATATTTTTAAACTCTAATTTACTTCCAACTAGATTGCAAGCAACCACTATTAAGTTATGAGTTACTTTTCAATAGAGGATTGGTTAAAATACTAGAAAATGGTTAACTGAAGACTTTAAAGGTTGCAGGATGTATTAAAAGAGAAAATACAAAGATGCGGAAGAGTTAAAAGGCTTTTTTGATGTGCAAGAACAAAAAACTGAATTAATAAAAGTTTTTATAGCATGAAGGGACAGATACAGTAAAAGGATGAAACTTGTTAAATAAAAAGGCAAGTAAGAATGAGTTTTGTTGTATGGTAATAGAGATAATAGCTTGTTGGAGTGTTGACCATGATAATTTTTTTTAAAAAGAAAGAAATGCAACCTTATAACAATTGGAGGGTGGTTCAAACTTGGCAGATAAAGCAGGTCTAACTACATTTACAATGTGCTTTTAGACTTTTTCTTAAAATAATAGGGTTGTTATTAGTTATATAGGAATGCCAACAATATTGCAATATTTTTTTGCAGTAAATAGATGAGTTTTGTTGCCTTAAAAAGTTGTAGATTTTAAGTCCAGAGTTTAAATCAATCAAGCCACTGCAAGCCTTAGGCTGTTACAGAAAAAGATCAGATTAAAAACCGGCTGCTTGTTCTAGGCGATCAAAAAGTGAAGGTTTTTTTTGGTCCAGACAAGAGTATAAAGTGAGTCGTAAGCTAATAGAGGCACTTTAGATGTAAAATTTTCATGAAGATTATTATTGTAGACAAGAAAAACTACAGAAGCAAAAATAAAACCTTGTGGTACCCTTAAAGTTACTTGAAATAAAGAGTGTAGGCCTTCAAGAATAACTTTAATACTGCAGTTAGAAAGCTAATAGAAAGCAGTTAAAAAACTAATAACAGAGTGAAGACTAATTGTAGAATAGTTGGAGAGATCAAAGTGTTTTCTAGAGTTTTGAAAAATTAGAACCAATTATATAGCACTTTTTAAAAGTTTAGCAAAAACTGAAGAGAATTCTGGAAAACACTTTTTCAAGTCTGATGGAAATCTTGTCTGGATCACAAACTGTAGAAGTGATTAATTGAGAATTAAATTTAGCATTAGAAACCATAGTGATTTTGATGTTTAACGATGGGTTAATCTGTTTAACTGGCAGGAAGAGTGTGGCCATTAGATTCAAAAGTTAAATTAGAGTAAGATTTTTTTTGCAAAAAACTCTACCTTATTCTGGGTAGAAGTAAAAAGATCAGACCCATGAATAAGAAGTTAAATTTTAGGCTTACTTTAGCTTATGACACTGTTGAAGACTTACCAAAAATCTCTAGAACCTAACATCTGAGATAAGAAATAAGATTTAGTAAACTTAAACTAGAATAAAAGAGCTCAACATCAAACAGGACCTTTTTACATTGGCTTCTTGGAATAATAAAAGGACATTTGTTTATAAGAGAGATGTTCTTTTATAAGAGAGATGTCCCTGTAAAAAAGATGAAAAAAATGATTGCTGTTTAATAAAGCAACTGCTCAAGATGGTAAAATATGTGGAGTAGAATTGAAGAGAAGTAATAGAAGCTTCTAAGCTTTTATTTCAGAAGGAATAAAAGCTTCCAAGATGCGCTTTATGCATACATTTTATGGGTATAAACATATATATTTGCTATTTATTTAGATGCTGGCAAACAATATTCTTTCATATTTATATAAACTTTAGTACTTATATGGTTTAGTATTTGCCGAAGGGAGAAGATGATCAGATGGATGTTTGGTGTGACTCTAACATGACAAATAAAGGAGGCATAGTCTCAGACAGATTTTTTTAGAAAAAACCTCTTATCAAACTACCTTTTTAGAGAAGATTAAAGTGATTTAGGTATCAGCATGTAGAGAGGTAGCAGCTTCAGTAGAAAATGGTAGAGGTAGAAGTAAGAAAACTTGAAGAGAGTACCTTATATATTGTATGAATGAGGTTTAGTTAATGAAAGAAAATGCTCTAGATTGTTTATATTAGAGAAACAGCATAAATGAGGAAGGCTAAAACCTGATGATGATGACAATGATGATGATGATGATGATGATGATGATGATGATGATGATGATGATGATGATGATGATGATGATGATTATGATGATGATGATGATGATGATGATGATGATGATGATGATGATGATGATGATGATGATGATGATGATGATCATGTTATATTTTATATATATATATGCATATATATACAAAATATAACATGAATTTTGAATTAAAAGATATACTTTTGGATATATATATATATATATATATATATATATATATATATATATATATACATACATACATACATACATGTATGCATGCATACATACGTGCAAGCCTCAGCGGGAGTAAATGCAGGCACTTAAAGAATTATTACAATTAAAAGTTCTACCATAAAAGTTAGTAATAAAGTATTATATATAAAATATATAATTCATAACATAAAATAAAAATTGTTATGCAATAATTTAATTTTTTTCAGTTAAATAGTTTAATAAGAATTTTTTTCAAAAATTAACTCTACTTAGCGTGACAGTTATAACGCTTACTTTTTACCATTTCTGAACAAAACAACAAAAGAAATCATTTAGCACATATTGATGTTATTATATAATGAGTTCCATAGTTTTTACTTGAAGTTTTACTAGTATTTATTTTTTTTTTTTTTCTGTTGTGACAGTCGTAACGAAAATCCAATGCTTAAAAACAACAAATAAAATGATACAATCAATAGTGTTATATATATATATATATATATATATATATATATATATATATATATATATATATATATATATATATATATATTATATATATATATATATATATATATATATATATATATATATATATATATATATATATATATATATATATATATATATATATATATATATATATATATATATATATATATATATATATATATATATATATATATATATATATATATATATATATATATATATATATATATATATATATATATATCAGGGCCATTTTCGATAGCGTCGATTTTAAAATATTGGCTTTCAAATTATAAATTAGCTCTGAAATTTTGAAGTTTCTTGTTGTTACATTTAACTTTTTTTAAATTCATGTAAGCCTTTTAAAAAACCAATTAATGTACTATTATATTTTAATATTAACTTAAAATATCTATCCCAAGTTCTAGAACAAAGTTTACATTTATAAAGGCTAAACAAAAATTCCTCTTATGAAAACTCCTCCAAATGTTTTTGCCATGATGTTTTTTAAAAAAAAAAATTATTATTAAAGTTGTTGTTCTCATTTTTATGATTATTTTAATTGCTTTTTATGAAGTTTAATTAATATTTTTTTAATTACTTAAACAATACTATTAGATAACTGCAAAATCTGGACCTAGCACAAAGCCAGCAATTTGGGTTGATGGTGGCATCCATCCCAGAGAATGGATATCTCCAGCAACAGTTATGTATCTAGCAAAACTTGTAAGTTTTTTTTTTTTTTTTTATTTTTATTTTAATTCACCTCCTTAAGGCTATAAAGGCCACTACAATTGAGGAGGCTACTTAAGTTGTGGTTACAACTGACTCAAAACTCTATAACTCTGAAGCACGGACCTTGACCAACAAGGCAAGCGCTCCACCACTACACTACTACTGCACTTGTAAAATGATAGTTATCTAATAAAGATCAGCTCTGGTGAGTTAGCCATACTTTAGCTTTTTAGACCTGGAAACTGAGATTGCACTGTACCTATTTTTACCTATTAACCTTTAAAATTTTCAGGACCCCAAGATTTTTAATATTTCTGCAGGAAAAAAATTATTTCTATAATGAATATTTATTTTAATTGCAAATATGTATAAATGTGTTGGTTGATGATTAAACCATATTTTGAACTATTAAAATTTTATTCCTTGTGATTTTATTCAAGAAACCTTTAAAAGTGTTTAAATAATTATATACTTTGTTGCAATATATAGTTTTACTGAGTGCAATAAAATAAATGACTTCAATTAAAATTGAAAAGCACATGATTCCAAATCATTAAAAGTGTCACTATAATGTTCTTCAAAACACTATAGTTGTATTTTAAAGCGTATTTTCTTTTTAGTTCAAAATGAGTTTCAAAATCACAATTTCTTTCACTTTAGAATACAAATTAAAACTTTTATATAAAATTTTTAAATGTTATGCTATTTTAAATGAAGCTTTTTCAATCATATAAATCATTAAATAAAAGATCACATAAATCATTAAATAAAATTCAGGCTCTGATTTTTTTTGTTAAATACTGATCTGATTAATGCACCATTTTCAAATAAAAATTCTTTCAAATAACTTAAATCAATTTATAAACGTTATGTTATGTTTTTGCAACGTTATGTTATGTTTTTTAACCTTTTATAAAACATATAAACAAATTATGTCATATTTGGGTTTTCCCTTTCTGCTATCTCTAATCGTAATAATTTTTTTCATCTTTTTCAAAAGAACAACTTTCTTGACAACAAATGGCTATTTATTATTGCAAGAGGTCGATGTAAAAAGGTGCTGTCAGATGCTAAGCTCCATTATTCACTAAATCTCATATCTCAGAAGTTAGGCTCTAGAGACTTTTGAAAAATCTTCAACAGCGTTTTTAAGGTAACAAGGGCAGGTCTAACATTCCATCTTTCATTCATGGGACTGATCTTATTACCTCTTCCAGAGATAACGCAAAACTATTTGAAAAAAACTTTTCTTCTAATTTGAATCTTGAGTCTTATGGCCAGTCTCTTCCTTCCATTCCAATTAAACAGGTAACCATTGTTAGACATTCAAATCGCTCCAGCTTCTGTTGCTAATGTCATATCTTGATTAAACTCTTCTATGACTTGTGGTCCAAACAGCATAGTACAAATTGTTCTCCAGAACTCTCTTTAATTTCTCTTAACTATTTAATAAGTGCTTGACTGAGTCTTGTTTTCGTGCCTGCTGGGAAATGCCATCTGTTGTTCCAATTTTTAAAAACTCAGATAAACATTCTGACTATTTATTAAATACTGGCATACATTTATATATTTTTAAACTCTAAGTTATTTCCAACAAGATTGCAAGCATCCACGATTAAGTTATGAGTTACTTTAAAATAAAGAATAAGTTAAAATACTAGGAAACATCTGTTTAGCTGTTAGGAAGAGTATTTCTATTATATTGGAGAGTCAAAATAGAGTAAAATTTCTTTGTTAATAACTCTGCTTTATTTTGGGGAGAAGTAAAAAGATCAAAACCATGAATAAGAGATTATATGTTAGACTTACTTTACTTAATGACATTGTTGGAGACTAACCAAAAGTCTGTAGAACCTAACATCTGAGATAAGATACAAGATTTAGTAAAATGAGAATAACAGAGCTTAAAATTAGACAGGACTTTTTTACATTGGCTTCTTGCAATAATAAAAAGACATTTGTTCTTAAGAGAGATATTCTTGTAAAAAATATGAAAAAATAATGAATAATGTTTAATAAAGCAACTGCTCAAGATGGTGAAAAATGTGGAGCAGAATGAGGCTTGACTTAAAATTGAAGAGAAGTAATAAAGGTTTCCAAACTTTTATTCTAGAAGAAATAAAAGCCTCTAAGATGCACTTTATGCATACATATTATGGATATAAACATATATGTTTGCTATTTATTTAAATGCTGGTATATTATATCCTTTCATATTTATATAAACTTTAGTATTTATATGGTGTAGTTTTTGCCGAAAGAGAAGATGATCAGATGGATGTGTGGTGTGACTCTAGCAAGACAAGAAAAAAAGGCATAATCTTAGACAGATTTCAAAAAATTATGTATCTAACAAAGTTTGGTTAGAAAAGAATAAAGTAATTTAGGTATGAGGATGTAGAGAGGTAGCAGCTTCAGTAGAAAATGTTAGTGGTAGTAAGGAAGTAAAAAAACTTAAAGAGAGTGCCTTACTTATTGTATAAATGAGCTTTAGTGAAGAAAAAAAAAGCTCTAGATGTTTATATTAGTAAAACATCAGTAAAAAGGATAGTTAAAGCCTGATGATGATGATGATGATGATGATGATGATGATGATGATGATGATGATGATGATGACGATGATGATAATGATAATGATGATGATCATCACCATCATGATGATCATAATCATCATATCAGGCTTTAGCTTTCCTTTTTTATACTGTTGATGATGATGATCATGATCATAATGATTACGATAATGATGATGATGATATTGCTGATAATGATGATAATAATGATAAATATGATGATTATGTTGATCATAATGATGTTTATATGTGCATATATATACAAAATATAACATGAGTTTTGAATAAAAAAATATATACTTATATATGTATAAATGTTTATGCAGCCCCAGTCACAAACCCGGCCCTGGCTATATTTAATCAAACCCAGCCCTGGTAAAATATCAACTTTACTACTTGCTTCTTCACTTACTACTTGCTAACTGATGTGACTAAAAAATTTTATCTTGCATTGGATAGAGATGGAGAGGCTAGGGATATTGCTCTTGACATATCTAAAGCTTTTGACAATGTTTAGCATGCAGGTCTTCTCCATAAGCTTGTTTTATATGGTGTATCTGAAAAAGTTTTTGAGTTTATCAAACCGTTTCTTACTAACCACTTTATTAAAGTTATCCTTGAAGGCCAACACTCTTCTTTATTTCCACTTGGATTCGCTCTATCTGCTAAAATTGAGCTTTTTCCCCATCATCGTAAAGTTGGATCTCTTTCTCTTTTCTACAAATACTATGATGGTTGTTGCTCAAAAGAGCTATCATCTCTAGTTCTATCAATTAAAACACATTCCTGCTTGAATTGTCCATCAGCCAAGTCTCATTTGCTTACTGTATCTATCCCTGCATGCTCTAAAAACTTTTATTCGTCTAATTTTTTTCCTCGCGCTTCAACCCTTTGGAACTCTCTCCCATCTTCATGTTTTCCTGTTTCATACAACCATCATCTTATTGAGTGAATCAGAATTTTAAAAAAAAAAATGTATATATATATATATATTTATTTATTTATTTACATATAAATATATTTATATGTATACACACTCGCATATATCATTTTTTTTAAGCTTCTTCAACCAATACAAAATGTTGACAAGGTTTTAGCCAAATACGATATTTATATTGTTCCTGTAGTAAATGTAGATGGATATGAATTTACTCATACTGGAGATAGAATGTGGCGAAAAACTAGAAGCAATTGTAGAATAAGTAGATGTTGTGGAGTGGATCCTAATAGAAACTGGGCAAACAATTTTGGAGGTAATTAGTGAATTATTGATGTTATTGAAAATATTGATATACTGTTTATATCTTTTGAGTATGTAAAGTTTGATATAAAAAGTTTGGTATTGCATTATTTTTTTAAGTGTCATAAATTTAATAAAATCTGTTGTTTTAAAGGTAACTATTTAGTATAATGTTTTTATTTGTTTTTATTAGTTATAGTTTCTAGATTGCTTTAAATCTTCTTTATTTATCTTCTGCGCAAAAGGTCTAACTTTTTTTATATTTAACTTTATTATATCTAAATTTTTTGTATTTATAATAGTAATACACATTGCTTTTTATATCTTTTGTAATGATTCTTGATTCAAGATTCATTTTATATGGTTAAGAAAGGGAAGAAGTCTTTTCAAAAGAAGTTTTTTTTTTGCATCTATTAAATAGACTATGTTTCTCAGTGATAATTGATCTCATATTGGCACATAGAATTTATGTTTTTGATTACCATTCATTGTATTTGATTAATACACTTATCTTAGATAAAACACAAAGTTTTGTATTAGGAAATAGAAGATTATATAAATATTTTTACTTACACTCAGCATGAGGTTTTTGCTTTAGGTTTTTTTTGCTCAGATATTGTTGTTATTATTATTATTATTATTATTGCTATTATTATTATTATTATTATTATTATTATTATTATTATATCATTTAGATATTATTAACCTCAGGGCTGAATAGCAATTAAGTAATTTAAAATAAATTAAATGTTTTTTGTTAAATCATAACTGATGTTTGTGTATTAAACATTATACTGCCCCTGTATATTTAGTGCATTAAATATTATACAATATTTGTCCCTGCTTTTCTTGACCGCTAGTTGTTTTTTTTCTAAACAAGGTGTAAATTCTTTGTTTTTTAATATTTGTTTTTACTATATTGTTTCCACTACATTATTCCACTTTGTCTCCACTGCATTGTTCCACATTGTTCCCAACACATTTTTGGCACCTAATGCTGACAAAATTTGTGAAAATGCCTGCCCGGGTACCTGTCAAACAAATGGGCAGGTACCCATTAAAAAAACCATAGTTATCATAACTGTTGTTCTTATAAACAGTCAATAAAAACTTTTGATTCATTTATTTTTAAATATTTGATTCATGTCATTTATTTAGAGTAGTTCTTTTTCACTTATATCTAAATTATATTCTACTATAATGTTACACAAGCTGGTTTAAAAATACTAGTATCTCCATTTTTTCGGGTGCTAAAAGAATATAACCACTTACCCAGAAGTTAAGAAAGCGCAATTTGATGGCACTGAAGTTGCAAATATGCAACTTGTGTGCTTGTGTACTTGTGTGCTAAAATAGCATAACTATTTTGTCTAAGACAAATTAATAAATCAATGAATCAGAAAATCTTATAATTTTTTGAATGCTATGTTTAATATTTTCAGAAATTCTGATAGTTATAAAGAAATGGTTAATATTACAATTTTTAACAACAGGATCTTCAATATTTTATTTCACATACCAAGTAAATATTGTTAAGTTGTTATATTGCGATTATTTTAAGCTTTAAAAAAGAATGAAATGAAATTTTAACTTATCAAATGATGGTTACCCGCTGTTTGATGCAATAATCAACAGGCAGGTACACTGGTGCTTGGGTACTGGTTAACAGCCTTATTGGCACCACATTTCTATAGATGAATAAAATATATACATATTTTCCCATTCTACAAAGCTGTTTCATGCAAGTTTTAATCTTTGGATCTTTTTTTATTATGTTTTACACAAAATATTATGCGTTACACATAATGTTATTAGTTTGAACTAACATCATAAAAATGTTGTTATTTTTGTTGAACTGCAACAATTTTTATTGTTTACAAACTATTGTTTTTTGTTTTCTATTTAGAAAACTTTAAAAGTGACTTTAGTATTTTTTTTTCAATTGTATCAAGTTTTTGCATATCAACTTCTTTAAGTTCACAAAATTCAAGCCCATATGTTTGTCTCTAAACATTATATGTCATTAGTTTACATAGTGGAAAAATAGAAATAAAATTTTTTAATTACAATAACATATGTAATAAAACAAGATACAATGTATAATAATAAAACAGTTTTTATTGTATTTAAATGTGAAAATATGTATTTTCATTTGAACATTTGCATATTTAGGTGCTGGAACTAGTACTGATCAGTGTAGCGAGATTTATAGAGGAACACAACCGTTTAGTGAACCATGTGTTAAAGCGCTTTCAGATTTATTTTTTTTTCTCCGAAACGTCATTGGTGATCGCAGTGCATTCCTGAGGAGGGGGATCACCATTTATCCACTACTTAATTCTAATTGGTTATTATGGCACCAACATTTTTTTACCTCTTAAACCCATGTATTTTTGCGCTTTGTGAGCTTTTTATTATGAATTTGTTACATTAACGACATTTATATATTTTTATGTTACACAGGTGATTATCAGTTCTCAATTTTTTATCTAGAGTTTAGAACATATATAGTACCACATTTATTAGACACTTGTATGGTGCGATTACTTTAGTTATGAATACCATTATAAACCAGCGGATTTTTATTGACTTGTTTACTCATAGATCATTGTTTTATCATTTGCTAAAAGATGACTAGAGTGTGAGTTTTTATTCCTCTTTTCCTGAGTTGCTAACTTTTATTCCTCCTACTAAATAATCTTTACATTAATTTATGTTTTTTTACCTAAATGACATCATCTTCAATCTGTTTTTATTTTCACATCTCCCAGATCTACGTAACTGGACGGCTCCGTTGGTCACTTTTTGCGATCATTGTGTCACATATGCAAAAAAATTTATTCTTTGTGGCTGGTGAGCCCCGACTTTTTCTAATGTACACCTCAACGACAAAACGGACATTAGGCTATCCCGCTGGATGTGGTTATGGCGCTCAATAACCTAATGACTACGCTGACACTCACGCACACGTTCAGTCGGAAGCTCCACAATGCACGTCGGATCAGCGCTCGCTGACTATGTGCTCGGATCTGAAATCTCACTTCATAGCACATCATTCCACACCAGCATGGGGCAGTAGCTCTTTTGGTTAAGAGTGATGGCTTGTGGCCTACAGTGACTAATGTGTGCATTCAATCAATTGAAATCCATTCTGTAGGAATTATGTCTGGCTCTGATGTGCTAGCCCATAAGCGCAAGAAGTGAGTGTGTTTAGCTTTCTATTCACCCGATTTGAAAGTGAACAGAAACATAACGAGACCATACTAGACGACAAACGGTACGTACTAATGCACTACACCATCACACCTGTAGACTTCAACAGTCTTCAAAATCAGTATATCAAATATTTATTCTTTGTTACATATGATCTACATACAGAGTGATTAGAGTGTTAGTTGTTCTCTCCTTGCCCTCCGAGCATTTACTTCGTTCTTTACCTTCACAAAAGTCTTATCACTCGTTTTGTATTTTCTTATGATTTTTATTTTTTATTCAATGACACCATCTTCTAACTGTTTTTATTATCACATCGTTCAGGTCTACGAAACTGGACGGCTCCGTTGGTCACTTGTTGCAATCATTGTGTCGCATAAACAAAAAATATGTATTTTTATTTGAACATTTGCATATTTAGGTGCTGGAACTAGTACTGATCAGTGTAGCGAGATTTATAGAGGAACACAACCGTTTAGTGAACCATGTGTTAAAGCCCTTTCAGATTATTTAAGAAGTCTAAAAAATTCACCTGGTGGTCTCAAATCATATTGGAATGTCCATGCTTTTAGTGAACTTTTACTGACTCCGATTGGATATTCTACCACCTTGCCTAGAGATTACGCTGAAATTGTAAGTTGCATATATACTCCTTTACTGAAATTTAGATATTACTTCAATTTATGTTTAATTTTCATTTTTTATTTTTTTATTTTATTTTTGATTAATACTACTTTATTTTTAATATTTATTCATTTCCATAACACTGAAATATAACACTGAAATATAACACTGAAATTGTCCATAACACTGAAATTGTCTTTACTGTGTTGCATTTGATGTGATTGAACTGAGTTTTATTATAAGACTCCATTTAAATTTCACAGAGATTTCTCTTTTTTTAGTTTGTTTTATATTTCAGAGCTTGTAATTTTTTTGTTTGTTTTTTTTTTAATTATAGAAAAGAGTTGGTGATATATTTGCTGCAGCAGTTCAGAAAACTTATGGTAGAAGGTTTGAAGTGGGTCCTCCATCTCGAATTTTATGTAAGCATATCTTTATTATTTAATGTTTTTTTTTCTTTGTTTTTTTGATTGCTTTTAATTTAAATTTGTTTTCTTCATAACTTTGATTTTAAAATTTTGGCCTTACAAAGAAGAAATTTAATTTTCTTAAGTTTTTTTATAAGTTTTTTGAGGTGTTTTGGTAGGGAATAGGTAGTTTCTTTTTAAACAGAGGTAGAGGTAGATTTTGGCTTCCTAGACTTTCTCTGTTATGAGATCTACCAAAATACAAGTTCTTTCATTAAAATAATGCTTTAAACATTAATCAGTTCCAAGATATTTTTTTACATTTTACGTTACATTTGCATTTCCTGATTTTAGACTTATCTCTTTGTATAGTTTGGTCTTTGGTTTTTGTATAAGTCAGTACTTAGATAAGTTTTGATTTTAGTTTTTAAAGCTATAAGTAATTCATTTAATACATTTTTATTCGTCTTAATTTTTTAAGCTTATTACTTTTTTGGCTCAATTTTTGGTTGGTAAACTAAATTTTTTTTTTACATGTACCTAGTCTTTTTGTTTAATTTATCAATACAGTTTTAGTTATTTTATTCTAAAAGTAAAAAGTGCTTGACAACCTTGTTTTTAAAAATAACTGGAATTTTTTGTTTTAGTTAAAATTATATATTTAAATATTCATAAAAAAAATAATAATAAAACATCGTAAACATAATTGTAATTTTATTCAAAATAAAAATTTATAATTTATTTTAATTAAAACTTTAAAAAAAAATTTAAATAAAGAAGTATATGAAAAAATGTATTTACGTTAGCACAAGATCAAATACCACTACCAATGCAATACCAATATAAGAAAAAATATAAATTTTGTATGAAATATTTTTAGATCCTGTCGGAGGTGGTAGCATGGATTGGACATATGAAAACTTGGGGGTAGTTTATTCTTATGGTCCTGAATTACGCCCGTCAAGAAATGCTGGAAATGGATTTATTGTGTCGCCAACTGAAATTCGCCCATCAGGAGAGGAGTTTACAGCTGGTTTCTTAGCCGCCGCACTCGCAATGAAATAATTTTTTTGCAGTTGTTTCCATTTTGTTGCTATTGTTAATAGTGCAATTGTAACTACGACTGTTAAATAATAAACTTAGTAAAAAAAAATTTTTTGGTTTAATAAATATTTTTGTGTTTATATACTTTAGGGGGCATCCATAAAATACATACGTTGTTACAGTTCGGCGAACCTGCTGAATGCTTATAATTAGTTCGGCGAATTAGGCTATCTATAATGATTACTCATAGATTTTTTTTAAATACTTAGATTTAAAAACAAAGGGGGTAGCCCCTTAAATAGCCGTAAGGCTATTTAAAAAAAGTGTATAACTTATGACGTTGCAAGAAAATTTTTAGTTATTAAGGTACTCCAAGATGATTTATCGGTCTTATCACAGAGTATCGCGGAGCAATTAACCAGGTTCACGCCCCTTTTTTTATTAATGTCGCTTATTAGGCTAGAGCCGGCGTCAAACCACAAACCTCTCGGCTCTGAGTTAGAATTTTAAAAACATATGGAAGATATCGGAAAAGATATCATCTATGCATTAATGAAAAGCTAACGATAGCGATGTGTGTTTATATAATTATCATAAAATAATTATGAATAAACACGCATAGCACTCTCTTTAATTAAGTAAAATGATAAGAAATTTTTTATTATTTTAAATTGCAGTGTTAAATTTTAGTATGTTGGATAGCCAACAGACCAAAATTCCTAAAAAAGATAAGAGGTCATGAATATTTGAACTGGCTCTGGTCACATAAATACAATGAGAGAAAACTATGTCAGAATCATCAGCAAAAATAAATGTCTCTACAATACACACCGAACATTTCTATACTTCTTATTTGTTAACTTCAATATTTTTACGTAGAACAATTCATTTCAAAAAATTGCTTTAAGAGCAAAAAAATCAATATGCACACCTTTTTGCATACCTAGAGCTTATAAGAGATTTATAATAAGATTTGTTTTTCTCTTAAACACATATTATTGAAAGATCAGTGGTTTAGTGCGCTGTCATCAGTTCCGTTTTGGGTGATTAAAGACCTCCTGTAATAAACTTTGAACATTTTTCAATCTTGCTGTATTTATAGCAGTATTTATAACAAAATTTTTATTATAGTATATATCTATAATAATTAGGGGTCGTCCATAAAGTACGTACGCTTTTTTGTCTCCAACCCTTCCTCCCCCCCCCCCCCCCGCGCGCGCAATTTTCTGTACGCTTTTTTGAGTACTCTCTACCTCCCTAAAAGTACCTACGCTTTTAACCTACTAACCCAACATTTTATGATATTTTTTTAAATTTAGTGTCACCATACTTTTATAATTGACCTACTGCCCCTTTATCACAGAAACGCCATTTGCAGACCTCCTCTTCTCCGAGCGTACGTACTTTATGGACGATCCCTTATAGCAATATTTATAGCAAAAAAATAATAGTATAGCAAAAAAGTTTTCTAATTGTTCAAATAAAATTCAAAGGTTTTGTTATTTTTATAGATTTATTACACACGATTGTTCCATATATTGCCTGCAAACTCATCATATGCTAGAGACGTTTACACTTACAGACGTTTGTACGCAACGCTATACAAATGGCAGAACTAGGATGATCTTAAACCATTAAAAACTGTCGGCTATAAAACCCAAAGGGAACGTCTATAAATTACGCAACGCTAAATTTATTTAAAAAAAAAAAAAGAGATCTTAAGTTCTTTTAGGTGGCGATTTTCATTAAACTTAATGAGGTATTTTGATTTTTTATTTGACTTATGACTCTGCGAGAGAAAATTCTGATCTTTTTTGTGGTGTTCATTAGTTAAATTTAGCGTTGGGTAATTTATGGACGATCATTAATCTAAAAGTTAAGCTAAAAAATAATGGAGTATACTATTTTAATGGTTATCTAAATTCTGTCGTTGTTGCGCACTCGGTTTAGAATGTTTAACGGGCGCGTGGTAAGAAAAACTCTAAATGCTATAACAAAACAACTTTATAGATCTATAGTTTGTTATATGTTGCTTATACTCATTTTCCTTGCACGAACTTAACTTAGTTGTAAAAAAATTGAAATGTAAAACTAAACTAACATAAGTATCTCAATCATGACACATACGCAACAAATTTATCCCCGATTTTTGATGTTTTTAGAATTTTTAGCCTTTTTAAAAATCTTTCCGTTTGTTAAAGTGTATAACATCGCTACATATGTTTGTATATAATCTCTATAAAATTTAAGTATATTGTATTTTAAAAAATCTTGAAAAATTAGAAAAATAATGTTGCTAAAAGGCTCGAAAGGGCACTACTACTATTAAGTTCAGTATTAGTATATAGGTTAGAAGTTAAGATTAGAACCATTCCAGAGAAATTAAAAATTGCAAAAATTGTACCTATATATAAAAATGGAGAACCATATTTACTAAACAACTATAGACCAATCTCAATCCTTCCTGTATTCTCAAAACTTCTCGAACGAATAATTTATAATAAACTGTACACATATTTAACAAACAATAACATCTTAAATAAAAAACAGTTTGGATTTCAAAAACAACATGCAACCGAACATGCAATCATAGATCTTGTAAATAGCATCAACTACTCATTTGATAGTAATGAATTTTTCTAGGAATCTTTATAGATCTATCAAAAGCATTCAATACTGTTGATCATGAAATCCTGCTCAAAAAAATGGAAAAATATGGCGTAAAAAATGTTGCATTACTCTGGTTTAAAAACTTTTTGCTAAACAGACAACAATGTGTAAATACTGATGAAAATATCTGTTCAAAAATGCTAAAGATCAAATGTGGCGTTCCCCAAGATTCCATTTTAGCTCCCTTACTGTTTTTAATATACATTAATGATCTTCCAAAAGCCTTAAACAAACTTGATGTCATAATGTTTGCAGATGACACTAATTTATTTTATTCATCCCCGTCAATTACAGAACTTTTTGAAACAGCGAATATTGAACTCGAAAAACTTAATATTTGGCTAAAATCTAATAAACACAGAACACTAATAAACACAAATCTTTAAACACAGAAAAAACTAATTACATCTTATTCCATCCAAATCAAAAAAGAAAAAAACTACCAAATATATTGCCATTGCTAAGAATAAAAAACAAAAATATCGAAAGAACCACAACAACTAAATTCCTAGGTTTACTTATGGATCAAAATATTTCATGGAAAGCCAATATTGACTATTTAAATACTAAAATAACCAAAAACATTGGCGTGCTATACAAAGCTAGACCAATGTTATCCCAAGAAAATCTAAAACATCTTTATTTTTCATTTATACATACCTATTATACATATGGTAATATAGCATGGGCCAGTACCCATAAATCTAACTTAAAATCACTTTATCAACATCAAAAACATGCCATTAGAATTGTCTATAAAAAAGATAAACTTACTCATGCTGAACCTTTGTTTAAACTCCTAAATGCACTAAACGTCTATAGAATTAACATTTACCAAAACTTACTCTTCATGCTAAAATTTAAACTCGGGCTTGTCCCACCACATTTCTTAAATGAATTTTTTAAAAGCAATAAAAATAGATATGACACTAGAGAAGTAGGAAACTTTAATGTACCGTTCAGAAAAACAAAACTATCGCGTTTCACAATTTCATATCGCGGTCCCTATCTCTATAATAAACTGATATCCAAAAATGCCATTATTACAAAATTAGATAACATAAATTGTTTGAAAATCTTACTAAAAAAGTTCGTTTTAAATATCAGCAATTATTTGAACTTACACTAAACTAAAACTGAAAGTAAAACCAAAATTATAATTGAAAACAAAATCCAAAAAAACTTCAATAATATATATTAATATAAAAAATCAATATTAAGTTAATAATAATTATATTTATGCTTAATAATATATTTATGTGTATTATGTGTACTACAAACTTTTTTATTTCTACATTTTATTATATGTGAACCTAATATAAAATGAAGTATTTTGTGAAACTAGATACATTGTAAAACGAAAATACAAAAAATATTACAAGTACAAGCGGTTTCTTGTTGACAAAAAGTCTTCTGCAAGTTACCCGCGTTCTTTTAATATTAATGATACCCTACAATCATATTTTTTGTATTCTCTAAAATTGTGATATATTTTTAGTATTATATATTTTAAAAACATTATAACTTTGTACCAATCATCTAGAATCACAATATTATAAAGATAAAAGAACAAAAAAAAAAAAAGAAGTAAGCAAGCCCCTCAGTGAAAAAAACGGCTGCAATCTCTCCAGCCTACTCTTTCCTCGCACAAAAGTTTGAACTTAAACACAGTTTTTTAGATGTTTACATAGTTAACATTATTGCGAATGATGAAAAGTAAATCTAGATAATTTGGTTTTCTAATTTTACCGGTACCAATTTCAATTGAAGTGGGAACAAAGCTTGAAATGCAGACATTCATTTAGAAAATAATTTTCCGCATCGTTTGGGTAAGTTTTTAAAATTTTTTGGGCGTTCAATGTGATTGCAACTAGAAGATGGACAAGAAATCCAAAACGAGAGATAAGTAGAGCATAAAACTTGTCTTTTGCCTCTCATGCTCACCTAAAAGTTGATCCATGAAGATATTAACTTCAGCGATCATTTTTCCGCTAATGTCTTTCCAGTAATGTCTGATGCTTTAATATACATAAATTCATTATGCTGGCTTTTGTGCGCTTTTTTTCGTTTCTGGTCAGCAGAGTACTTGTTGGTTCCCACCAACACCATAGCTTGGTCTAACCTCTTGAACGAAAATTGACAGATCTAAGTATATAGCTATACAGTTCATTCACCACTGTTAAATCAATTTCCACGGCTCAAAGCATTTTGTTCACTTTGTTGAGCTTTTCCATAATCTTGTTCCGATGAGTTGATCCATTTTCTGAGAAGTCTACTAACTTCTGCTATCGTGTTTGGCTGTTGCGTTTTGACATATGTTTTTTTAAGGTTACCTTGTAGTATATACACAAATGTTCTCAATGTTAAAAAATACCATTAAAAATTCTAAAAACAGAGGAAGTAAACTAGGTTTGGATTGGCTAAACTATTTAAAAAGTCACAATCAATTCGAGGTA